CTGATGCAGGGTAAGTGCCAGAGGAGGTGATTAACAGCAAGGTTTAAAAACAGATTGGTTTCTTTGGGTGAGGGTTGACACGCCGAGACTTGTGGTGATTTCCACCCACAAGGCTCGGAGTGTTGTTGTTTATGTCTCAAAGAGTTTGAGTTCGTCTGGTGATATGATCAACTATGTCAGTCAACAACGTCAGAGCAATCACTCTGCTGCCCATTGTAACTCAAACAAACAAACGAAGAATTCCTCTGCACTAGTGTAAAATATCAGAACACTGACATGTTACAAGTTAAGTTTTTTTTAAGCCTGAACTCACTTTCTTCTCTGCTTAAGTACTTCAAAATGAACACTACAAATTTTTTTAGAATTTCAAACTTAGCCTAGATAAGGAAGAATAACTCTCTCTCTTAATGTTTTTTTATGCTGTTGGTAAAGAAGGGTGCTTTTCATGGTTGGGGCTGTCCAGTTCTAGATGTGAAAATGGAATATATGAAATTTCAGAACACAATACAGTACATGATAAAAGCTTTGTGGCAGAAGTCTGGGTAGGTTGGTCCTTTTTCTAAATGCTAATACTCTGATATACACAAGTCTGGAGTGGAAAAACTGAACTGGACTGCACATCGCAAACTTTGCTGATGTTCGGCCAAACTGAGGGAATTATGCACTTTTTCTTTTTTTTTTAATTCTCCATTAAAAAAACATCTTTGCAGCAAAGTTTCTCATAAGAGCGAGTCCACAAACGTTCTAACATATTTTACAAAACCAGCAACCCTCCAACTGTCATGAGACCAGCTCTTTATAAAAGTTGAGTTTGGTTCCGAGTTATCCCAATTTTTGAAGTTGATTTCTTTTCAGCCAGGAACACTCGACACAAATTTAACCATTTCATTGCAAAAATGGATAGACAGTTTTTCTTGGCGTTGAAGGCTCTGCTTGAAGGATGCTACCTGGCTTAGCTCTTAGCTTAGCATCATATCACATATTTCCAGGGAGCGCAGTGCTAAACCCCTACAAGAATGTACCAAAGACTGGAGGCATAAATAAACAGGATTATATGCGTAGATCAGAGTGCAGAATGTGAGCGTGAATGATCTGCTTGGTGGGAGTTACTTGAAGATGTCAAAATGCACCAGCAACACTTGTAGAATAAAGATCAACTTTCATCAGGGTCAACTCTGCTGAAGGCCATGAGCCGAAACGCATCGGTCTAAGTTGTTAATAAAGTTGATCTTCATACTGCGAGTGTTGCTGGAGCATTTTGACCTCTTCTAGCCTTTCACTCTTCATGCACCTGAAAATCCCACTCTGCTTCTTCAGTGGGAGTTACTTGACAACCTTTGAATGTCTTGTGCTTGACCCTTTATAACCAACATAATAACTGCTCTATAGTTCTAACTTTTCACGTCAGAGGAAATGATCGCTGGTGGTCAAAGACAGGTTTGTCTATGTACTGGTGAAGATAGAGAGACAGGTTGTATAACTTTTTCTTGAAACAAAATGGAGACCAAATTATCCCCCAATAGTTTCCAGGTTTTGCTATTGTTGAAGTCACATAGTTAAAGAGGTCATAAGTTTAACCCAGAGGGTTATTTTATTTTATTTTGTTGTGTTTTTAAAGCCTAAATGGGATTTCTAATGTTCATTCTTGACTGTGGGCCTTTCGTTATTGTTGGGCTCCTATATTTTTTATTTAAAAGGGAAAATTCTCAATCTGTTATTTTATTTAGTTGCACTTGTAAATTGTATATTTTGGTAAATCAGGTCAAAAAAACAGATGTGCTTAAAGACCTGTTGGGCATATCCACTTTGAATCTGGGTCGGGAAAACAAGCAGAGGAAAGCAAAGGTATGTAGGTTACAGTGTGTGAATATACAGGCAGGAGTGTCCTTCCAAAATAAGACTTCAGTCTCTCTAAAAGCATGACAAGCAGGAGCAAAGAAACCTTCAGATCCTTTACTTAGTATTGAGTTAGTTTATACTACACTGTAAAGATATGGCATTGCAAAGAAAAGTCCTGCATTCATAATGTCACTGAAGTAAACGTTTGTCAGAGTAATCATAGAAACGTACTTTACTGGTGGATCTCATTGACAAGCTGAAATTAAACTGATGCCTCAATGTCGTCTACAAAATCAAACAACTTGCATAAAGATTGATTATTTGACTGGTTGCTGTATTTTGTGTCATATTTAACTTTATTTAGTTCTCCCCCTACACTAAGCACATTTTAATCTCACCTTATTTAGGCTGTGAAAAAAAAAATATATATATATATAGATATATATAACTGTAATTCAAATCAAATTATTGTCATAGTCTAATCATTCAATTATCTTATTAGTACAGCTCTAATTGATTTGAACTGGTAATGGTTCTAAACAAATCTTCTTATAATTGGTGTCAAATCTGAATTCATAATGAACTGTAGATACACAGCTATGGAAGTCCAATGCAAGAACAATGTTTTTATGAAGTACTGTTCATAGTTAATAGAACCCACAGTGCTTTACACAGTTCACAGGCCAAACAAAAAGCAAACAGGCAAGGCACTGTGAGTAAAAACAATCAAAACAAACATAGGAAAACAATGGATTAAAAGAACATTTAAAAAGACGATAAAGCATACAAAAACACACCACACAATATCTGAGCTTTAATTTCACACCCTAAGCAGGCGAGCAGGTTTCACAACAGCTGAGTGTGAAGTTGCAAAACATGAAAAGGTTAAATGAGTCATTCTGCTTAAGTCTGAACATCAACTAAAGAATCAACAAGGGTTACAGGTATTTGCTGGATGTTGCGGGATGTCAAGTTTATGAAACTTACTGTACAAAAACACATTGTCACTATGAGGTCACTGTGGTAAACATCAGAAAGAAAGACCCCAGGGTGTCACACTCCTTCTCTCCAGTCACATAGATACAAAATGATATTTGTTGGCAAATGATTGATCTGAAGTTTGACCCTTTTTAGTCTGAGGATATATACACAACTTTCTTTCCCTTTCAGTTTATGTAGAAGCCTCTCACAGTCTCTGAAAATTAAGGTTAAAACACCTGAAATGAATCCTTAAAAAACATTTCCCATGATCCTCTGTCTGTGTTTACAATCATGTTTACAGGGCTGACACCCAGCAGTCGTTTCTGACATCAGCCGTTCCTTGAGGGTTTGTTTAAATAGCTTAATGTAAAAAGGTAACGTTAAGGTAAAATTCTGAGAATAAAGGTACACCATGTTCAGCATTGTGTGTTTTGAGATGTTTTTCTGCTGTGTTGTTTACCACCATTTTAACCTAGCCTATATTTTTTTTCTGCACAAGGTCAACCTTGTTTTTGCTTTGTTATGTTTGTTTTATAAATGAATGTATTTCTGCTAAATAAGCAACGATACGTTGGTACAAATGGTTGATAGTGCTAAAGGTTTGAAAAATAAATGACCCATCTTGTTTGAGCTTATCAAAATATCAAGCAGATAACATGAGAACCAAATGATGTTATTAAACAAGATTAAGATTAAGATTATTAAATCCTAATCTTAATCTTAAATAAATCTTAATCTTGTATGGGAAAATCAGCAATTAATTACATATTTATGATTCTACAATGTTTTTGATAAAGATGAACACCATTTCATTATTGAGTGTCTTGTTTGTCTGATCGGCTGATCTAAATAGCTTCACTCTAGTTGATGGATGATTTAATTTCATCTCATTTGAAACAAAACATTTTCATTTGTAAATAATAATTGTTATTGTTGGGCTTTTTATTCCCGTAATTTAAAAGACACTTAATGTTTTTCTTTCTATTTCCGGTTTATTTATAAAACAGATAAACAATAAATGAGTCGAAGACAGTGGAAGCTGACAGTGTCAGGTATTTAGCTTTGATTCATTACTTGAATGAAAATAGTTGGTGGTCAACTTGTAAGTAGAGGGGGAAAAAGCCTCTCACTAAAGCTGTTGTCTCTCCTCACACAGCACTGAATCCTCTCTGTCCTACTTAAGACTCCTCAGTGAACATATTGGCCTTCAGCATTGTTTATAGCAAAGTACACACTATTAACACTGTGTATAATATACTGAGCCCCTGTGTGTTCCTGTGTTACGCCTGTTAAAATGTGGCACACACACAAAAAAAAGCTTGGCTCCATGCTGTATATTCATGTAAACAAAGAACAAACTGTACAATGAAGACAGCATGGGGACCTGAGATATCATTGACTGATTATTTTGTGTTAGAAGAAATAATAGCTTTTGTCTGCTGTTGCTTTTCACACATTTTAACCACACTTTACAGAGGCATTCCCAACATCTGTCTCCACCTTCATAAAAAACATTAGAATGGATGTCTGTCAGACAATCACAGTATTTACATCGACTTAAATTGACTGAATTAGCCACGAGTAAGACTGATCATGAAGCTAGAAGGAAGTTTGATTTATATTATAGTTACCATATATATATATATATATATATATATATACTGCAATTGTTTTAGTGCAAAATGTACAAAAAGTACAAAATGAAAAGTAAACCTGCCATGTCTCTTAAACATGCCGCATGTTACACACTTGTTTTTAGTTAAAAGGTCTACTCTCTTATTTTCTAGTCGTATTCAGATTCTCTTCATTGTACTGGAAAGAATAAACAGAATATAAAAAATGAATTAATCATGTATTTTTGTGTATACGGACAAAGCAAATCGAGTATATTTGGTTTTGGTTTGGTTCTGAAGAAATAAAAACCACCTAAAATATCTGGATTGCGCAAGTGCTCGATATTGAAGCAGTCACAGGCTAAACTAATTACTGTTTTGAACTACTGACTGTTGCTTGTTCCTGCAGCATGATTTTGGCATGAATAGTTTTGACTCACGCTATTAAACATGATGTACCCTCCCACTGGCACGCAACATGCTAAACACAGCTCCTCTATCATTTTCCTAACAAAGAGTGCAGCCTAAACACCAGCTAAGGTTCCAATAAAACTCTAAAGACAGACATCATTTTGAGCTTTTTTTATTTTATTTTATTAGAAAAATCAATTACAAAACTTTGGTAAAATTGTGAATCAACAACTGCATTCGTATAAAAATACATTCGTTTATTTCAGTGCGCGACACCAAAGTCGCACCGCTGACCCTGAAGACATCTTTCATGCTCCTAACAGTTTGTCTTTTTGGAAGTTGAGGAGTAAAACATCATCCTCGAGTCACTTTTTGGAATGTTCCTCTCACACACACACACCATTTCAGTGGCATCTCCAGCTTGAGGCTCAACTTGAACGCCACAGCACCGAGGCATCTGGCTCCCATCAAAAGCTCAGAGACCTCCTCCTCCTCCTCCTTTTGTTTAGCAGCTGGGAAAGCTAATCTATGAGCCTCGTGCAGCTCTATACACAAATTGCTCATCCTATTTAATCATCGTGCTAAAGTCAACAACCACAACTATGTGACATTTGAGTGTTAAGCTTTCCATTAACACAACGCTCCTCTAGGTATTCATCCACATACAGTTGAATCGTTTTTTTTGTTCATCTGAGAGAACTACTTCCTGAAACTCTCATGCAATCTTCATCGGCAGATAATTAAGGCATACATATTTTTCCCTTTAAAAATATTCTGACCTGCATATTCTTCACCTGCTTACTTCACTTGTCCACATTCAGATAGTCAATGCTTCAGTAACAGTAGAAAGTAACAGAGGCACACTGCGGCTGAGTCACACTGTGCTGCCAGGATGAGCAGAGTTGGAAACTGAAGATAATAATTGCACTTTTGTCTTTAAACGCCACTCAAAGATGACAATGTGCTTCCTAACATGTCACCTAATCAAGAGCGCTTATTACAAACTTTGAACACCAGGTGCATTTCCAACTCTCTACCTGACAAATATTAAGTGACCCCCCCCCCCTTTCGATAGGTCCCAAAATCATAAATTCGCTTTAGCTTCAGATGAGGGAAATCGTTGATTGGGAGGTATTCGCAGCTCGCTTCACCACGAGCCAAGGATCACTCAGGGGAGGACAGGAACTGATGTGGAGGAGATACTTTTCTCACAGCAGAGCAGGAAAGTGTCCACACAGCAAAGTGGCTGCACCTCCACTGACAGTCCAGTTCCTGTGAGTTCCATCTCCTGACCTCTCCACGGCGCTCTGGTCCCTCTCCACGACACTCGGTGGGACCAGGTGCCATTTATCAGAGAGAAGTGATCCAGGAGACGACAAATCTCTTGATTCGGTTTTGTAAATTCATGTCGCTTGACGCTCAGACAGGGCTCAGGGTTCAACACGTCATGCAGCGGGGTCTCATGTTTAAGGGCTGAGGGTTTGGGTCAATCTGTAAGCAGAAGACAGAAATGAAGACATATTAGATGAAGTACTGGTGGACAAAAAAATCCTTTTAGTCTTCATTAAGTGCTATGATATTTCAAACTACTCCCGCTGTCACTTGGGATGATTTTTAAAAATGTATTTACATAACGATAAATACTTTCAAAGCCTTTAAATGCCAATCAGACTAAATAAACAGGTACTACTGGTAGTACTGGCAGACTCACCTCGCAGTACACCGGCGGAGGTCTAAAACGAAATTCTTGGACAAAAGCCATGAGGGGGCGCTCCAGGATCCCGCTCAGGTCTTCGGCGGGTGGCAGGACCACCGTGTTGTTTCGCTGCTCGGCCTCCTCCTCCGTCACCACGGAGCTGTAATCTGGAGGAGCTGAGGGGAAACAGGCAGGATTAGTCCACTGGTCTGACTCAACAGAACAGGTCCAAACACTGAGCAGCTGAGTCATCAGTTTAAACTCTTAAAAACCCACATGTAACATTTACTGCCTTTTGCACTAACAAACACTGATTTGATCCAACATGAATCTCTACTGAATTGAATCCTTTGTTTCATTTTTTTTACATGTTGGCTTCAGATATTGTGTGATTGGCAGATAGAAATCATAAAAAATGAAACTGTGAACAATTAAAAGAGGAAAAAAAGACCCCTCAAAAGGCAAACAGTATGACTGTCTTTAGATAGAAGACTATGTTGAGTAATGTCAAGCCTTGGATTTGATTCATGTGCTGCTTCTCAACAAGTTCACAACATGATTTAGTTCATGATAGCAAACATCCCTGAACACTGGCTATGGTTTAATAAAATAATCCAAACAATAATGAGTCTGTGCTGCTCTGCACACAGCGTGTCATGTGTTTTCATCTGCACAGTTTGGGCACTTAAAGTAAAAAAAAAAACAACAACTAAAGAAGTGAGCAGGGGAAAAACCCATCAACAATTTTGTTTTTCCTGCCTTGTTCGTGTCAGAGAGATTAAAAATGTTCTAGTTGTAATAATAGCACATCTAGACCAACACGTCCCTCTCTGTCAGCCTCTACACTATTAAATGACACTTACGCTCAGGCTGCTCCGGAATGGCCATGCGGAGCCACTCGAGGTTGACGCTGTACTGGCTGCTAACGCTGGACGTCCTGCTGCCAAACGGGTGGAGGGGGATGGTGCCGATGACCAGCGGCAGCTCCAGACACAGCTTGGACGTCCCAGGAACATCAACACAAACCTGGAGGGAGGAAAATAATAAGAATTTATACTTCTGTCCGTGCAAAGTGCATCTTAAAATAGCAGCTCGCATTAAAAGAGGGGATTACATCATGACGGAGCTCACCTTGAGCATGTACTCCACTTTGATGATGCGGCACTGCAGGATGGAGGGACCCACCGGTGGGATCTTGATGGCGCGACCATGCCACGTCTCCCTGCTTCTGGCTCCCACGATATCACCGGAAAGAGTGCCCACCACAGAGCGCTTCTGCTTCATGGTTCCTCGTGCGATGAAGGTCTGCGTCTGAGTGATGTAAGCTTTGGGAACTACTGATCTGGAGGTAGAGTTGTCAAACTCGGCAAAGACAGGAATCACCTCACCTGTGAAGTGAAACAGCATGTTATAAAAGAAAGACATTTCTAAAAAAAAAAAAAGGCCTTTAAGACCTTGTTTGATTGTTTTTTTTTTTGTTTTTTTTGTTTTTTTTAAAGGAGTTGTTCATGGTGCTTGACTCTAACCTGGTGTGTAGCCTTTGCGGTCGATCTTTGCAGTAACAGACACCTGTCCAAAGTTTCGGTACCATGCCCGTGCCATCTTGTCCTTTGTTCCAGCCTGTGGCGCCTGGAAGGATAAAACAAAATTAACATCACACCCCCAGAAAATAATGCAGGGCATAAAGATAATTCATGAATTGAGAAGGTTGAGATGCTCACCAGTAAGGCCGGTGTGTTGATGTCAATGGGCTCGATGACTGTAAACTCCTTCTTGATCTTCTTGACAGTGGCCCACGGCCTATGCAGCTTCACTTTGACCCAGTAGCGGATGCTGCCATGTTTTCCCTCGAAGGAGGTGACGAGCGTCTCCTCAGGGAGCTGGAAGCTAAACGGATACTCATGTCTGCCGGCAGGAAGGACAGTCATTTCGCCATTATCTGAGGAGAAGAGAAGGAAAGCAAAATTAATTTAAGTTTCAGGGGATTCATTGTTGTGGCGTTGAAGACAGGAAGTGTACATAACTTCACTTTCAGAATGACTCTGAATATAAAGCAATCAGTAGATAACATGAAATAATAAATGTTTTTAGTGTGACTGAGTACTTCATTCTCTTTTTAGATGATTCATACACAACAAGAATAAAAGTGATAAACTAGTGAAGGAGGAAAAGAGTCTTGATAAAACTACGCTCAACTTGTGCAAACTCAAAAAAAAAAAAAACGGACAAAAAGAAGTGTTCTTTAGAAATCCTTAAAAAACAAAGTTTTAAAATGTAAGTGAGAGTAAGAACTGATCTTTTAAGCAAGACTCTCCCTGAAATCTCTCTGTCTGTGTGCAGTCACATGGCTGCTGTGCTTCTGCTCAGAGGGGCGGTTCCTGCACCATTGTGCTTACGAGAACATGTTTTCTTCAACAACGTCTCGACTGCTCTGTTTTTTACCCCCCTCTCCCTCTCTTGTTGCACAGGTCCAGGAACACGTGTTTGTGTTTAACAGATTCAATGTGTTTTGAGTTCCCTTTGTTAGCTGGAACCTCCAACTTCATTTCAATAACAATGCTGTCACTTTCAAATCCTCTTAATGGGTCAAGTGGGTTATTAGAAGTTTCTGCAGGCTGTTTTTGTGCACGTCTTCATAAACTTCATAAATCCTTGAACATTTTAACAATATAATTCGACATTTTTGAATACTTGTTTCTACTAGAATTAACCAAACCATGCGAGACTCAAAACTCCAGGGGAAAAAAAAAGGTATGAACTTGTTGCAGCTCTAGCTGTGAACTTCCTGTCTGCTCTTTAAACCAAAACAACACTGTGCCCAATGAATGAAGACAGAAACCCGAGGCTCTCCCACCTCGCTCAGGAGAAAAACAACTCCTCAAAGTAGTCTGAGCTATTTTCTTACAACAGATGTTTTCACAATGAGGGGGGGGGGGTGCAATGTCAGCTGTTGCTGCATGCTTCACTTTTTGCTTTTAAAACGTTCTTAGGAACTATGAGCAACAACAAAATAAATAATAAAGACAAAAAAATAACACCCTAAAGATGTCCTTTGTCAAATGAATGGGGGGGAATCTCTTGGTTACCAAGTTGGACTTTTGTCTCATTCATAAACTACAATGCTGTTACTTCTGATTCTTGCATCAACAACAACTTTATAACTCAAATCGTAGGAGCTGAAGGTCTCAACAACAAAAACGCTCATAGTAACTTGAAGCAGGGCTATTTTCTATTTCCGTCCAGCATTATACAAGAAGAGTCCAGTTTGCAGACTAACATCTCAGTCAATGTCCCTCTTGGTCAAATAAACACATTTCACTATCGTTCCCTTGGCCTAGTTTGATGCACAAGTAGCTCACGACAGTTTGAGAAGTTTTCAGAAAGGCAGCTCTCCCCCATCACCGAGCCTGCAGAGCTGACTGACCTGCCTGCAGCAGCACTTCTCTTCGGTTCAGGTACTCCACTTCGTCGCTGTAGTTCTGGGTGTATGCGGTACTGGAGCCTGCGGACCGGGACTCGGTCCAGTGTACTTTAGCGAACCCTTCGGCGTGGAGCTTCAGTGACTCTATCCGACTCTCCCCGGACAGGTCCAGCACCACCCGGCCGGACACCACGTCCCCGCTGCTAAAAACAGGGGGACTGTCCACCTCCGGAGAGTCGAACACGACGTCAAACTTTTTTAACTTGTCGAAAATCATATCTGCAGGATGTTAAAGTCCTCTTCGGAGTTAGCGAGTTATTTATTCGGGTTCAGTAATCCTTTCAGTTAACCAAAGAGCGTCTTCAGATGTCTTTTGTTCCTTGTTTCAGGCTCAAACTGCTGGACGCCTTCAGACATCGGCCGTATTTGGAGTCTGTGGAGGTGGGCGGGGCTTGATTTTATTATGCAAGGCTCAGGAGAGGGTTGAAGGCGGATGCTGCATTCAGGTTCTTCTCCATGGTACAGACTTGTCAGCACCCAATTTGTCAAAAAGACATCTTGCCACATTTGGTAACTTTATGAGTCAAAACTACCCAGGGAAGTTGCAGAGGGTGAACTGTTTTCAAGTTTACATAAAACCCAGCAGCACCTCTCTGTGATGATAATTTAACTTTCATACAGTGGGTGGGATGTTTGAAATCAAATGCAGCATTATTCATGTATAATTAACCTACGGAAATCTTGTTAATTTACTTATCTTTTCTTAATTGTCACTTATTTTGTATATTCATGTGTTGTTTTCTCGGTGCAGGCCAAGAAAACAGGCTACAAAAACATGTCCGGGCAAAGTCTGACAACAAAACCACCTCTAGATTCGAGCATTACCAATACAACACAAACATAAAGTGTTCATTAAGTTTCATGACAGCCATCAAGCCGCAGGGTCATACTTTAACAACAAGTGTCGTGTAAACTCCCAACTTTATTTTCAATTTGCAATTTTGTAGGGAATCATGTTCAATTATTTTAAAAGTTTTCGTATTTCCGGGCTTACCATGAAGGCAGCATAACAAACATGCAGACTGGGTGTGGAGGCAGCAGTGAGGAAAACAGGCCCAAGTGATGATTGATGGTTACAGGTTCTTAGACGAAAACAGGCTTACTGGGCATACCTCCCTCTATCAGAGATCCGCCCTGCACAGCTCAGAAAAATAGTTTCACTCTGAACCAAAGCTGTTAACTCCACTTCTCCCATGTCACTTTGAACATACAGTTACTGTGCATAGTCTGCATGCAGCACACATGAAAAACACACAGCTATGCAGCCAAGCATGCAGCTTATGCCACCGAATCCCCTGATGGAAAAAAAAAAACTGTTCTGCATTCATTATAAGTGTTACCAAAGAGATATCACAGGAAAAAAAGTTGTGCATCAATTATATCACTTGCACGAATCAAAGCACTAATTCAACATGTAAGATTCAATTAAAGTTTTTGCAGACTAAGTATTTTCAGAACAGAATTAATTTCCCTAAACTCATTCGCTGTCATTGAACAAAACAAAAACTTATTCAAGTCTAATATGAGTTGTGCTTTTCATTGCATCTCCAAGGCCTCAGACGAAGAAAAAAATCAAGTCTGGTCAGAGACAAACAAAGTTGTTTACTCCTTTGTTTCCTGAGCTGACTAGTTAGCTCTGCAGTGCCACCCACTGGCATTGTGGAGGCATTGTGCACAGCTGTCAATGCTTCCTCCACACAGCCTGAGCGTGGCTGGAAATGTGAGTAAATCTGGTAAGAAACTGCAGGACTCTAGGTAGATGGTGCTCTGTGAATAAAAACACAATTGGACCTCAAGAGGTGCTTTCCAAATGATGATTCTCTGACTCTTATTTTACTCCTCTCCGGTTACAACGAAGATAGTAAATAAAAAGGAGGATTCTCTGCACTTTCTTTCAACATAACTCTAACTAATTCTATATAGGTTGGAGGTCAGTCTTCCACTTTGCATCAATCAAGTTTTTGCTTGGAGTGCATTACGGAAGCTCTACTCTGAGGTGAAATAAATCCCAGTACACCACCTGCTGGTGAGCTGGAGCAACAGATTGGCTCTTGCAGGGTTACCTGCTTGGTTCTGATAAGAGGACCAAGTAGCTCTCTGCAGATTGATGCACCTGATAACTGCTCCATGCTCTGCAGATGACCCAGCATCAGCCTAATAATGGCTGAAAACCTGCTTATTTCTGCTAGGGACTAAAGTAAACATATTTATCCAAGTGAGTTTCTCTTTGTTTACCCAACAGCTGCTGATACACGGTAAAGCTAATATTAACATGGAAGCCCTGCATACTTTAGAGCCAAAAGAGGAGCCTGAGCAATTGCAGGTCCTCAGTGGTGTTTGCAAGAGAAACACAGAACAAGTAATCACCTAAAACACAAACAAAAACTCTCCATTGAAACCAGACTGACCCTCAGATAAATATCTACTTCAGAAGGAAAACAATCAGCCACAAAGAGACGTGTTTATGGAAAACTAAAACATAAATTCACTGGAAATGACTAAATGTACAAAATGAATGGAGTCAAGTGGCAGGCTGCATGGTGGGAGGGGAGAGGTTGGGGGAGCCACGTGTTGTTTTCCCTGTTGCCTGGGCAGCAGAGGTTGCCTTTTTTAAACAGTCCCCTCCCCTTCCTCTTCCCTTACTCCCGGTTTTCCCCCTTTGCCTTTCACTTCCTCCACATTTCTTGCATCAAAGTGAACAGACCCAAACACAACATCATTTCTACTGTTATTACTATAAAACAACTCCTAATAGTCAGATTTCTTCATGATTGTCTTTTTTTTTTTGCATTTTTAGGTCATGTAAAGGGCATCCGTAAAAATGTCATTTCATTTCTTTACCAGTTATAAACTCCTCACACAAAGCTTTAAGGGAAGACAAAACATCACATTTTCAAAGATGACATTTTTTCTTTCTAGTTTTCCTTAAGGGATGTGTTACTATTTTGTATTCAGTTCATAAATTAGGCTGAAATAGGGGCTTGATAGTGCAAACCTCCATACAGCCCCTTCAACAACAGCGTCATTCTGGTGTTGCATCAACAAGTAATTTGGACATTTGCCCTCTTTAATAGTATTTTCGAATGAATGATTGTTCACATCATTAGGCTGTTTGTATTCTGCTTAGGCAACAACAAACCCTGCTGTTATTTGAGACTTTGCAGATGGACCAGAGCAGGGAGTCAAATCAAACCCACCGTTTACAGAGCATCCAATGAAACATTAACTACTGTCTACAGTTCATTTACTCTGCTACTATGGCCTATATTCTCTGCTTCTCTGGCTTTAAGCTTCCTGGACTCTGCACTACTATTTTGTTAACTATTAGGATTTCTGTCTGGCATATGTATCTGATGACCTGGAGTCAACTTCTCTCCCAAGGTTTCTATGCAACCCATTTGGCCCAGGTGGCTTCGTTTGCAAACTGCAGCGACTACAAGCTTACCGGCTGGCACATGGCAGATCAAATCAGCAGTTCTACCCCACTATACAAAATAGAAAATTTTCATCCACCAGCTGCAATACTGTTTATCACAGCAGAGCTACAGATGATGGATTATACAGTATCTTACTATAATAACAACAGGGGCAGAAAACAGAGAAGAAAATACAAAAACTGCATCAAGATCAGCACAAATTATATATTTATGTCCCCTTTTTTAAACAAGTGGAGACACTGTTTTGCATTTTTCTGAATCAGGTAAAAATCCTAATTTCTTAGTTATCTTTAGACCACAGTCAAACCGGTTTGAGTCAAACAACTGAACTCTTTTATCAACGCAAATTCCCTAAAGAAATTCATGAAAATAAATAAAATTGTACATTTAAAATTGAGAAAAAACATAGGATGAATAGTCTGTTCTTGTTGGAGGCACCTGGATTTTATTTATGGTGATTACTGTAATCACACTGACTACATATGGGGATAAACAACCTTTGTTTTTCAACACTGACCTCGGATCAGATGCTGCCTCTTCCTGAAGTATGTGACCTTGGAGGTGTAGTCGTTAGAGACAGAGTTCATGCCACGGCTCTCCAGCCAGTGTGCCGTGGCCACCCCTCTACCCTGCACCTTCATGGAGTGAACTCTGGTGTCCCTCCGGAGCTTTAGGACAACCAGGCCAGATACCACCTCCCCTCCAGTGAATGCTGCATCAGCAGCCCCATCCAGCTCAAGTTTGAAGGACTTTATGGAGCTTAGTGTCATCCCTGAATGAAGATGGAGAAACTGTAGATAAAAACACTTTTTTTTTTTAAACAAAACATTAGTCTTATGAATACACTTCATGTACACGACAGTTATTTGACATGCGTGTATATAACTTGTCTTCAAGTACTCAATCCAGCTCCAGACATAAATGATTCCAGCATCGGTGCTCATGGGAACCAGGAGATCCCAAATCAAGGCAATTAGTCAGGGCACCCTGAATTTACTTAATATGTAATTTTACACAATATCGTTGACTATTTTATGTCGATGAAATCCTTGAATTCATAAATGCACATCAAGAATAATAATAGTTTTTTGATGATTTTAAATTAAAGTTAGTAGTGGTGACGATATGATTCATACACACAGTTAAATACATGCACACAGAAATTGCACTTTCAACAATATGTAATTGTTTTGGTCACTTGTTCAAATAGCAGTAGGCTATTAAGTGACACTGAGATTTACCTCTTTTCGTCCGGTATGTGTTTTAAATGAATTTGAATGCGGGAGCCAATCAGAATTGAGAAACTGCGTTAAATATACAGTTGTGGACGTGTTGAGGTGAGATTTTTAAAAGACTCAAACTCACCGACAGGACTGGAGCAACGTTGCGGTCCTTTCACAGACGAAATGTACAATTGAGGGGGGGGGTTCAGTGTTTTATTCCGACACTCCAGGCTCAGCCTTCTTACACGGTGGCAGGACGATTCAACGCCCAGAATCACAACAGCTCTCTGCTTTATACCAATGATAATGCGCACGTGCGAGTCACGACGCACGACCGCCCACTCAAAACAGAGCGAGGGGAAGCGCGTGGACGTCAAGCTCAAAATAATAAAGTAGATTTCCGGCTTTGCCTTACACAGTTAAACTGTGTATGTAGCCCATCATGTTTTACCTGAACGATTTTGTTATCGTCTACGTGAAGCTCTGTCTGTGGGCAGGAAGTGTCCGTGAAAACGTGTAAATTACCTCAGTTTGACCGACGACTCGATTTGTTGTTGAGTTAGGCTTTTATTTTGAAGGCAGCATGCCACTTATAAACGGAGAAAAGATTGCTTCTTCGAGAACTGTCATTTGCTCTTTATTTTATTTCTATCAAAATATTCCTGGAAAATAACTACAAAAAAGAATTAAGAATAAAACACTTGCTTGATTGCCCATATTGACTTAGGCTGCTTGAGCTGGGTTCACTAAGTCATGAAAAAACACTTTAAGGTGAAAATTAGGATCCATTGTTGAAAGTACATTTTAGAGGACTAATCTAAGTTTCTCTTTGTTGGTATTTTTCTTAAGCTTCTGCTTTTGAAAGACTCTCACATGATCACCATGTCAGTTGACTAAGGTTAAATGTCATGATCACATCACTGAAGCATGCTATTGTGTCTGTGAAACACCAGTTATCAATAAACTTCCACATGATGAATAAATCTAATCACACAGGGAATTCAATTAGATATCGACTTAACTGTTGGCCTTTATTAATATAATTCAAAATTGTAATTTCAAACCTTGTTTCTTTGGTTGAGAGAGATTAAAATACTACAAGGCTCATACCACAAAAACAATGCACAAACCATAGTGTTACATGGTAATTTAGTGACTATAACTACTTTAAATTGAGCTTATTTCTTCTAAAGATTTGAGCTTAATGAAATTGAAAATAAAGAGATAAACATTTCACATCAATATAGGGTACATTGAAAAAAAAGTAAAAAGTAATGTATTTTGCTCAAATGTCTAAATCACTATTGTCCACATTAGCAAAATCATTGTTGCAATCTGGGAGCGTTTCCTTGAGCAGGACCTATCTGCTAACATCTTTATGTTGACTGTTTTTAAATGACCAAGTGCACCAAAAAAGTTTGCGAGCTATTTTGTATCAACTGGAGTTAAATATTTCAGCACATTCTTGCAGATGCAACCCTTGGACCTGAACCTGGATTTGTACTGTGGGGCAGCTCATACCTGGCCTACTGCCTTTTTGCCAGATTGATGATTCAGTTTATTTACATCTGTTTGCTGCCAACTTGTTGTTGTATACCAGCAGAGCTACATCTAGGGTCAAGGCTGTGTTATTGCTACAACACAGATTGTTTTTGTAGAGTTTTATGGTCCATCGTGCTTGAAGGAGTGAATGAGAATCTTTCTGTGAAAGAGACGCTAACCTTCTCTTAGCAGTGAGCGTTGATGGTGTCAACAAGCTGGAAGTAGGACAGTTAAACACAAGGCTACTTGCCTTTCTTGGCCTGAATATGACAGCACTGGCTAAGGTTCATGTTTAAACCAGCTGGACTTGCACACTTCTTCAACATGCCTTCTGCACTGATTGTATTGATAGAAGTATATTTCTTTGTCAGTCTGGTAAAATTAAGATCATCAGAAAAAACACAAAAAAGACTGAAATAATTTGTGACAGAATACATTTAGATACACAGTTGACTTATAAGTGAAATGTTTGTTCTGACAAGAGTGTCACACCTTTATTTTATTTACTTGTGTTGATATCTTGTGTAAAGCACTTCGAATTTCCTTGTTGCTGAAATGTGTTGACTACATAAACTCTCCTTGCCTTAAGCTGTGCAGTGTATTTGTTACTATTATATTGTCTGTACACCAAGATCATGTGATTTTAGTATTATAACTACTAATTGACAAAAAGTCTCAGAAAATATTCAAATAAATAAAATACAAACTCAGAACAAATACCTCTGTTAGTGATTTGAAATCAACAGCATATTTGAAACCTACATACAAACAATATCAAAGTTAAACAACCCTTGAATCGTTATAGAGAGTTGGGTTAGAACAGTCAATACAATGCACAATGAGTGAATAACTGGTTGGTGGCTTGACCCTGCAAATTCAGGTGGTGTAGTCTTCTTTGTAGGTGGTGCTGACGGGCCACAGAAACGTACAGACGATCGTGGAGGATGTCAAACAGGCAGCCTTTCTATTACATTAACTGAGGTGTTCCAACTATTTCTTTCACACTACCAAACTACTTTTGTTAAACCCCTTACTATAACCAACTGTGGTATTTGTTTCTGAGAAAAACTGCTGCTACTGCCCTTACCAGTCAATTATACGGTTGAGTCAGTCTGCTGCTTCTCAAAGGGATAGTCAGTTTTAGTGATCTGTATCCAAGATATAAGTCTTTGATAAATCTGTTTGAGGACAAACTCAACATCAAACAAGTTCAGCTTCCGAAGAGTGTTAAAAATAAATGAAAATTCAGGTCAGTTTGTACATCTAAAAACACATTAAACCTCCTGACAGCCCCAGCCCAAATAAATCAGTAAAAAGTGAGCTAAACAGACCTTCAGCTGTGGTCTAATCAACTGCTTTACAGCTCACATGTATTAAATGCAAACTGAGTCCTGTGGTGGGAGACTTTCCTAAAGCACAGATCTGCAGACAGAGGACCGGCTGAATGACCCAGCTGATGTTGTCTCTCTTTTTACAATCACAGGTTCACCCATTTCACTGAAAAGGAGGAAGGCTGAGAAAAGATATCATGACAACAGTCACATTGAAAAAGGAAAGCTTCATGAAAAGGTCACAACCATTATAACATCTCTGTCTAAAGCTGACAGTACTGTTACCTCAGGTCATCGTGTCTTAACTAAGAATACACATTCACAAGTTTATACAGCCGTTTTTGTGGTGTAACACAAGGTCTATTTAAAATCAGACTGACTAGCTAATTGTTTCTTCTGCTATCTCAGAAGTAATAATACTCCATGGGATATTAAATCTATCAGACAATAAAAATGTTTATTGTGGTTAAAATGTGTTATCAATTCCTGCATTTAAACTCTTAGTCAAGTTAAAGTATAGATTAATTATCAGCCAATTATTAAAAAATGGTAGCAGCTGAAAACACTACTAGCTCATGCACAGGAAAAGATGAGCAAGGAAATAAAAAGTACCACGTTGTCCACCAGGAAGGCCAAACTCCATGCAAACTGAAAATTCCTCGGTTTAAGTATTGAAATACTTGAGTAAAAGTTCTTCAATCTTTTGCCTTTTTCCATGTACCAGAGCTCATCAGCAAGTCAAGAGCTATTTCGAAGACCTGCAGCTGTGCTTCACAACGGCATCATGGCAGGCTGCACAGTCTCACCCTTGGCTTTTACAATGGCCATGGAAGTCATCATCAGGGTCACGAGATGGGTGGTGGGCGGTGATCGAACCAGGGATGGGCTCTGTCTGCCACCCATCAGGGCATACATGGACGACATGACGACACTAACCACTACTGCAGCATGCACCAAGCGGCTACTTGGAAAGCTGCAGGAGAGCATCAAGTGGGCCCGAATGAGAATCAAAACCAAGTAAATCTCGAAGCATCTCCATAGTCAAGGGGGTGCTTAGAGACACAAGATTCTACATCGGTGACGACCCAATACCAACAGTGTCTGAGCAACCAGTTAAAAGCCTGGGCAGATGGTACAATGCAAGTCTCAAGGACAAAGAGCAGGTGCAACAACTAAGGCAAGACATTGTCAATGGCCTGGAGAACATCAATCAGACCCTACTGCCTGGGAAACTGAAGCTCTGGTGCCTACAATTTGGACTCCTTCCTTGAACAATGTGGCCACTGACCATTTATGAAGCCCCAATAACAACTGTGGAGAAGATGGAACGAACCATTACTTCATATGTGAAGAAATGGCTCGGTGTCCCGCGATGTCTATCTAACATCGGCCTCTACGGCAAAGGGGTCCTGGAATTACCTCTTACTAGTCTAACAGAGGAATACAAGTGTTCTAAAGTAAGACTCCAGATGACATTGAGGGACTCAAGAGACAAGACCTTCAGTGCTGCTGCGCCGCCCCTGGTAACTGGCCAGAAATGGACACCATCTGATGCATTACAGAAAGCTTCATCAGCGCTGAGGCACAAAGACGTCGAGGGGCAAGTCAAGCAAAGAAGAGGAGGCTTTGGCCTTACGACAAGTAAACCAACTTGGCGAAAGGCCACAACATCAGAGCGGAGGACATTGGTCCCCACCTATTGGCACAAAGGATTTCTTAAACATCACGTCCTGTGTATTTGATTCTTCGCTGAACTTAGTTATCATTTTTATGAATTTGTTATAGCCTAAGTGAGAATAGCAAGAGCAATTGCCACTATTTTAATTCGAGATATTAACAAGAATGGCAGCGACGACGTGCTTTTTATTTTTATTTATAAAAGTTATTTTTTAAATATAAAAAAAATAAACGTGTAAATATAACTGTAAAACATACCGTTTTCCACTGATTGTACATATTACTCTTGACAGTCTATGATATTACTTCGATCACTTCCGAAGAAAACGAGAGACCCCGGCCGACGGATGTGACGTAAATGTGACGACAGCCTCTTCCGCTCTCTTTTCGTTGAGGCTCAGCTAGCGGCCGGGTGGGTACACGTTTGGTCTAGTACTTATTACTCGATTTTTAGCGGAATTCATCACGTTAAATGCCAAAAAAACATCACACAAGTAATTATTCGGGGCATTTATCGTATATTAAGTAACACTGCCCCTCAGGTTTAAGACAGGGGATAAAGTAAAATGTGATTTAGCAGCACGCTAACGTTACGCATGTGGCGAGGCCCCGCAGACTCCTCTGTTGCTAACATTGAAGTCGCTAACACCCGAAGTTACTCACCAAAAGCCTCCTAAATCTTTAATGTGTAGCTAAATTAGTACATTATAAGCTTCTACCACCTCATTATTAATGAAATTTGATGGCGTAGGGCCGTCGGTGGCGTGATTTTAAACACGTCAGCAGCTGTTTCTCGGTCATCTTGGTAGCTTCAGCTAAACAAGAGTTTTGAACTAACATCAGTTTTGTGTCTCAGCCTGCAAACATGCAGATCTTCGTGAAGACGTTGACGGGGAAAACCATCACCCTCGAGGTTGAGCCCAGCGATACTATTGAAAATGTCAAGGCCAAGATCCAAGACAAGGAAGGTAATCTGAAAGAATTAACATCAAACTTCATGTTTATTTTATATTACCATTTTAAAGTTACATGTAGTCCTCTGGCTGGTTTGTTGACACTCTCATCATACCTTTTTGTTTATTTAACTAATTTGGCATTAAGTAAATGGTTAGATTAAACGGGGATAATGAATGTCTGTCTGTCAGCCATAAATGTCATTCGTCTGAGTTAGTTTAGTCCCCCTTTCACTGTAATGTCTTCACATGTTTGGTGTGAATGTGGTGTGTTGAAGTTTTGTTGTGTTTCCAGGAATTCCTCCTGATCAGCAGCGTTTGATCTTCGCTGGCAAACAGTTGGAAGATGGACGCACACTGTCTGACTACAACATCCAGAAAGGTAAGTTTTCAAACAGTGTGTCAGTAAGTCAAAGACAGCCCTCTTGTTAGATGTTGAGTGAGAAATATTTGTGAGGATGGGTATATGTTTGTAAGTGCATGTATGTATTTAGAGACATGTATAAACAGGCAGGTGAGTGGGAACTTGCAGGCAGGCTTGGGAACATTCAGCCTCTGAATAATTTATGTTTAGAGTTTCTACTTGTATTTTTTCCCCATTGCCTGTTTCTGTTTTAATTTGAAAAACCCTTCAATAAAATAAAAAAAAACACAGTGAGAAATATTTAGTTACAAAATCTTAAACAAGTTGTCTATAACTTAAGGATGAAAATGTAACCATTATGTATGACTTGAATAATAACACGTAATGAGTCCATTAAGTGCAGTGAACTTGTTTGGTGTTAAGATAATGTTTGGAAAGGCTTTCTTTTGTTCCGTTTGTGGATGTGACTGAACTAAGTCACTAATTTGGCTTCACTTCCCTCTAGAATCTACTCTGCATCTGGTCCTGCGTCTGCGTGGTGGCATCATTGAGCCTTCTCTCAGACAGCTGGCCCAGAAGTACAACTGCGACAAGATGATCTGCCGCAAGTAAGTTGGGAATATAATCATAACCAACTGTTTTAGTATTACTGTGGTATTTTACTTAAATAAACCATGAAGCTCTAGATTAAAAGGTTCAGACAAGACGTCTGTAAATAACACCATATGAGGAGTTTCTTTTGCCAGTGCTTTCACCAGAATGTCCAAAAACTGTATAAACAAGTTTTGACTTTGAGAGCTTTTATGTTTGGAGTTGACACCAGAATACTTGGTTTTCAGGTGCTATGCCCGTCTGCATCCTCGTGCTGTCAACTGCCGCAAGAAGAAGTGTGGACACACCAACAACCTTCGCCCCAAGAAGAAGCTGAAGTAGATGTTTTACGGAATCGGCTGTCTTTGCCATTTTGTGTTAAAATAAATTTGAGAAAATGGTGCCTTGTCTGATTTGGCTTATTTATCGCAAGTTAAATCTTTTGGGCTGAATGTTTGTTCTTTAAAAGCATGAAAAGGTGCAACGTCCGACTGAACTAGATAAGATGGACAGGTACAGCTGAAGTTACTGTTTATGAAATGTTCCCAAATTAAAATATCCTAATGAGATGACTGGGCAGTAAAGGAAGTCAGAGGTCTGTTTTGAAGAAGTCTTCTGTAAGGGATCTTGGTAATTCAGTAAACCTGCCCATTGGGACTGACCGCGATTGTAACTGAACACTGGGCCAGCACCTAACCAGCTGACAGCCTGTTTGTGCTGGTTGGCTGTGGTTTCAACTTCAAATTTGGCAAAAAAAAAGCTGTTTGTCAGCCTCGAGTCAACTGGACTGTGAAGCAGAAAAAAATTAATGTCTACAGTGCATGATTAACACTATACTAAAATACAGTTGACCTGGCTGGTAGTGCCAGAAAACAAATGCAGGAGAGGCTGCACTCTGCCAGTACTATGACACTGAAAGCACCACTGCCTATCATCTATGCTAATAGAATTTCAATGCACTTCCTACCACCTGCACTCTTACCAGTGCTGCGATATATTACGTTGTCAACGCAATCTGCAGTGTTCTTATTAGCCTGATCTTCCGATCATTCTTACAAAATTAAAATGCCTAGGAAAAAGTATCAAACATAATATGCACATCATTCTGAATTTAATTTACAAAAAACAACTTTTCTTACAGAAAAGACCACCGCCGTGACTTTGCATGACTGATTTTTAATGTTAAACACATCTGTACAAACATAAGAACTTCATCTAGCATTGTCATATCCCATAGAAACACCTGCTCTCAAATTCAGTGGGACTTGAGCTCAGAGACGCCCATGAACATTTGAACTACTTCAATGAAACTATCCTGAACTTACTAGTATTCTGAGGTATTTGAAGTCTCATTGTAAGGTCAAATGTTTTCCACACTGAGCAAAGAGCAGTTACACTCAGGCTAAATTAAATAATCTAATGGAGATGAACTTCAGCATCATACAGGAATTGTGTTATTCCAGTTTACAGTTGTGCGTCTTTGGTACTGCATTCTCTCAAAGCTGACTGGTTGTTTAAAAAAAGGCCTTATTCCAGTGTGTTAAGGGAGAAGACCAACCACAGATGTCCCAACACAACGTTTGATGCTGTTTATTGTTTTGTTCTTTTGTGGTGTGAAAAACTTCCTTCCACAGCCCACTAATCATGCTTCAGCTGGTGATTCACTACATTGCCCAGAATGCTGTCTTAATAGCTCCCCAATATATTCAAATACAGATAACAAAAAGAACAGAATAAAGATTATTTGCCATTGCAGCTTTAACCATTTCTAAAGATGCAACAAACAAATTGGTGGCACAATTGTAACATTTTTCAACAACAGGTACCGACATCATTTCAATTATTTAAAGTGGAGTTCTCTATTAATCAGTTTCAGATAGACAATAATGCTGAATATATAATTCACATTATTTTATGGAGTAAAACGTAAACAGTGTACCTTAAAGAAGTACGTGGTGTTACTACTCTTCAGTAAAATAATTTAATACATTATTGATTCTGGGGAAAAAAGGGGGCTGGAATATAGAGGTCTTTCCTGCTTCCCTTGTAGTCTATGGTTTCTGTGCTTGGATGAACTAATCTTGATGTTTGCACAGTATTAGTGTACTTTTCTTACACTCTGGAAAAAGGCTGCTGTGAAGTCAGTGTTCCTAACATTAACTGTGAGGAGCTCATGCTGAGGCTGGTTGCAATCATAATCTAATCAATGGTAAAGAAAACATCTATGATTAAGTTGTAAAGTTGAAGAAACAGGCTGTACAGATCCCTCATTACCACCAGATTACTTGTATTATATGATCAGGCATCTATGCTTTATTTTATTGCTAATTTAATGTCATTGCACACAGCAGCTGATGTCAGAACTCTCAGATTGTGTAGTAACTTGTCAAAACTATTGGAACTTCAACAGTAAACCTCTATGTAATTAATAGAAAACCAGACAGTAATATTCTAACTTTTTACAACTATTTTAGCGAACAAATCCAACGTAAGCATTTATAGAAGAAGAAGGTACAAGCCTTTCATTTCAAAGCTATAATGCTAATTACTAAAGCTAAGGTAATAATGGAATACAACTACATTATGTGGTAGTTTTCATTTACTGGTAAATATTTCATTATGACCTGTTTGAATCATATTTTGACGTATTATTATGATCCTAGCAGTTACAGCATCAACAGCTGTGAAGGCCTGCACCTTATCTGTTCCTATATTACGGTCATGAGAAGAAATCAAAAACTCATCTGGGGTTGAGAAGTAAAGATCGATAGCTGCTGTGCATCAGAGGTTCACATACAAAGCTGACCAACAAGTCAATTTAGTACCAACTTACTAAAACTACTGCAATTGTGCTTTATAAGTCGATTTAGTCTCAGGTTCCACACTCTCTCTCTCTCTCTCACACTCACACACACACACACACACACACACACACACACACACAGATGACGGCTTCACAGTTCTTGGCAGGTTCGGGGCATCTGCAGAGCTCATGCATCGCTCTCTTTGTGATCTATACCCTGCGGATTTGCTGAGCCTGTATCTATGGTTTTTATTACTGTTATGTTAAAATGATAGCGTTAGAAATGCTGCAAAAAGAAATACATAAAGTGGAACTGCATCCTTTAGTGAACAATGTCAAATGTAAACAAAATTAAACTTGGCACAAACAACAAGTGCAATCTCAGGTTCAACAACATTAGGGCGGAAAAGCAACGTCACTTTCTGCAGTAACACCTCCGGACCTTTCCTTCACATACTGATCTGTCTGTCAGTGTGGTATTTAGCAGCAAATTAGCCACGACATATTGTTGATTTCACACCTCAAGCGTCAATGTAACCCATCGATGAACAGGAGTAATAGAATAAGTGTGTGAAAAAGAGCAGTCCCTCCTCAAACAGAAACAAAACCCGTTGGTACGCTGGCGATCCTCAGAGGACAGAAAGTGAGCAGGTTGTTGCAATTGTTTGTTGATGATCCGGCTGCTGTGAGGCCAGTCCAAGCTGCTGATGGAGATTATTTTTATTCAGGGTCTTTGTCTCAATGTGTCCTTAAGACCCAACTCACTTTGGGTGCATCTCCACAGTGTAGGGAAGGATTGCACCACTACGGCTCAGGATTGTTACTGTGCAAAAGCAGACATTTTACATGGATATCATTTTACTAGTTGTCTTAACATAAAGTTACTTCTCATATCTATAATTTCATGGAATAACGCACATCTAAATGCATTGGTCTTACCGGAATATATACTGTACTATGTGTTGGCCACAGGCTGTAACTGTCATGTGTTGAAGCCAAACTGCAGTAACAAACATTGACATGTCTACAAATGTCCAACAACATAGAAAAAAAAGTATTTAGCACAGTTTTTTTGGTAGGAGTTCTTAGCCCATATAACATCTCACATCCTGCTGTTACTAGACTGAAGTTTAACCGAGACTGGACATGGTTCAATGGATAAGACGTCTAGGTCTGCTGTAAAAAACAAACAAAAGAAAAAAAACAGAGCAGCACAAGCTTTTATTTAACACGTCAAGGCTTTTGACCTTGTGTTCTTAACTTCTTTCAGAGCTTTATTGCATCTATTTCCACTATAATTCAATGAGAGTAAGTACTGTGAGTTGTGTTAAGAAAAAAACACAAAAATATACGAACAAAAAAGTACCGATATTTGATATTTCGCTACCTTTTGAAACAACAATCTACTTTTGCAGAGTAACCATCTTATTATTACTTTTGGTGCAAATCCTGTTTTAAAGGTAAGCTGTGTAGTTTTGCAATTAATAAACTACTTTCTCAGTATAATAAACATAAATGATAAGACCATCACTGCAGCCACTTCTCTGATGCATTGTGAATCCATCAGGTCACATTTAGAAAGAAATCTGAATTGCTATGGCAACAAAAAGAGCAGGAGGGCGCTGTTGCTCCAAAGACAAATGGATCTTCAGCTTTCAGAGTTTGCAGTGATGGCAGATGTAGAAAAGAGTGAAACACTGGTGTAAAAATCTTCCTTTCCTCATCAGGTGTAGAAGAGTTAAAGGTCATGCAGCTGCTTGAAGTGTGATACGGACAAAACAAGTAGCAGTGTTTGAGATAATCATAACAAGGTTGCAGTTTAACTTAATCAATGATTTATTCTGCAGACAGCACCTTTGAGAGGATTCTGATATCTGCTGTATACCAGCACTGATCATAAAAAACAGATCTGTGAAGGTAAACACCTGTACCTCCTCCTCCGTATTGCTTCGACTTCTGCTCTGCCCAAACCTCGGGATAACGCAATGCAAGTGCAACCTGTGCTGACTGTGGAGATGCAGCCCAATTTCTGCTGCTGCAGCTACTTGTCGATGAGTTTTGCCAGGCTCTGTTTCAGGTCTTTAAGGTCGCAGATTTTGACGTCCAGAACCTCAATGACTCGTCGGACCTCACCCTCCGCCTGCTCCCGCTCTTCCTCGCTGGAGGCGAGCGTCTTCTCAGCACTCTGGACCTGATCCTCTAACTCACTGTTTCGTCTCTCCAGGTCCTGCAGACACATGTTAATACAGTTGTTTTATCTGGATGTATTTCAAAGTGACTGCATAGATTTTGTTGTGCATAAACTTTTTATTCTATTCTGAAAATTGAAAGAGCAACCAATGCAAGTGAGGCACCTGGGAAGTAAATGATTCTCTCTGCAGGATTAAACAAATGCTAAATTCCTTGTGTGGCAGATTACTGCAATACAACTGTTTTCCCACAAACTTTTTATCTATGTATTTATTTAATATTTATTTAACATGGAAAACATTTTTGGGTTTAAAAATCACTTTTTAAAGAGTTTCCTGACCACAACTGGAAAGAGCATAGTTAACAAAGTTCTTGACAAACAAGCCATACATTTAAAGTTTTCAGTTAAACTGGCAGTATGCAATCGTGTGTGTTTCCCACTGGCATGGTCCATTAAAATAACCAAAACAGATCGGTCCAATTGAATTGAACTACTTTGTTTTCTTGTTCTTTCTTTTTGCTCTTTCAGTGCGGTTGTTCTTGGTGTAGGACAGCTTGTAATGTTTTGCTGAGGAGTGGTGGGGAGCTAGTCTGGGACTGGGGCACACTGTACAGAGCATGTTCTAAATAGGTCAAGTGTGAGATGTAGAAGTTCAAGTTTTCTGTGTCTGATGAGGGCAACATATGTTGTTTCCTTTATTTTACACTTTAACTTTATGAGAGGGGTCAGTGTTGGCCAGATAATTGGGTCTCGTAAACCTAGTGTGGCCCGCAGGTTAGGGGTTAACTGTTTCAAACTATTTAACCAGCAAATTGAAACGTGTTAGAATGTGCTGTGTGAGTTTATTTTGCATGGCAAATATACCAATGAATAGATTATAGAATGAACACAAGGACAGTGAAGGTCACATATTGATTTACATAATTGAAGACTGACAACCCCATTTAAAATGATGAAAGACCTCATAAAGGCTATGCAATATGCATCAGGTGTACCTCCAGTAGTAACACTGGAAAATCAGTACAATTTGTTTTCTCCTTGAAGTCTTCAGTTCACCTGTAGCTCTACTGAGTCTGTGCTGCAGGTCTGAGCTGTGCTACGACTCTCATAGTTATGTAATCAGAGCTGTGACTCTCCATCAGTGGACTGTGTTGCTGTGTGGGGTTTAGAGAACAACAGATAACAGCATGCGTGATGGTCAGCATGATGAAAAACTAAGAATTGTTTTGCTTCAAAACAAATTGAGAATGATGTGAGTGCATAACAATATGTTATATTGTAAAGAAATGACATCACTTTTAAATTAGCTGCAAAGTAGAAACCAGTAAAGCCACTAGTTCTAGTATTGTAGTCCAAGATAATGTTATCAAAAACAAAAGGATTGCACTGGCCCATCAGTAACAGCTTTAAGTCTGATTCATTAAGAAGTGAAAGTCTATCTTTAAAGAGAGAAATTCCTGAGTGTGAAGATGTTGGAACAACAGGTTTAAAAGGTTTTGTCTCCTTAAGGATGAAAAAAAAATGTAATACAAAGGATTTTTAAGTATTTATCAACCCCACGGCTTATTGACAGTATATATTTAAAATGAAAGGTTGTTCATTTAAATATTTGTCTGATGTTTCTGAATAATGTGAGTGATACAGAAAAGGGATTTGTTGGTTTCTCTACAACCCTTCTCTAACCCTTTCAATGAAGAAGTTCTTTAAACTTTAAATGGTCTGTTCACTGCCAACCTAGCCTAACTAATAAACTAACACATCGTTAGCTTCATGTTTATTGTTGTGTATTAATATCTCTTGTTGCTGTATGATTTGTAAATAATAATCTTGTGAAGAACATTTTTTAACTCATGTATGGAGTGTACAGTTTGTTCTCCAGGTGTGCATATCATCACTTGATCTTGAATACATTTCGAGCAGATTCAGCTCCCTGTAACACAAGTTCAGTTTACTTGTAAAGCAAAGTTACTCCGACTGAGCGCTCCAGTTTTACTGAAAAGAGAAACAACATCCGCAGCCTGTCGTCAGCTCACCTGCAGTCTCTGCATGGCCTCCTCTCTCTCCTTCTCTAGCTCACCCACATCTGTTTTCTTGCTCTGTAGATTGTGTATTTCCTGAAAATACAAACACATCAAACTGTCAGAACACCGTGTTCACACCACCCTCCTACACATCCACTGACCCTGTCTGTCAGCACATAGAACATTTATATCTTGATTTGCACTATAATGAAGCCGATGCTTTCTTTATAAACCAGGCTGCTGATAAGACTGGGGGGACACCATGATGTTTAGAGTAAGAACAGGGGGATTCAGCCCCCCTGGGGGAAAGCTTACAAACGTGACAAATTTAGCTGCCAAGAGCGGAACTTTTCTAAATGACAGGTGTAACATGGTTATGAAAATTAAACTCAGCAGAAAGCTGCTTTAAGGAACATTTCACTGTAATCTCCATTGGGTTTGCCAAGAAGACATTTGATGGACATTAAGTTGGCTCATAAAGGCAAAAATTATTCTCAAGGTGGTGTGTCATAAAAAGTCTTTATACAGCAGGCTTAGAAAACGGTAATGAAGGTGAGTCAGAGAACACTGATTTCATTTAACATGTAGGCGGCAGCTCGGGACGTCTGCAGGATTTATTTCTGTGACATTCTTTTTAAGACGCTCTCCGTCTGACCAATCCTGTGATTCAACAGGAAAAGACTGAGCCTCAAAGATAAATTATGTTCTGAGTAGAAAGATGAAACCAAAGAGCACAAAGAGAAGCCAAAAAAGTCATCGCCTTCTGTCACGTCTGCTTTAATTTTCTAACAGTATGCATGGAGATAATAATTTCGATAAAAACTAGGTTATTGAAGCAGAAAGATCTGGTTAAAAACCTTCAAATGATTCAGGGAACAAATACTCAAAGTGGCACTTGAATGTTTCATGCTCTCCAAGCCTAACAGAGTAATTAAACAAAATGTAACCGTGTTATAATAGAGTGTTTGGTGTTTTTTTCTCCCCATTTAATGAATAACAGCAGCAGATTCACCCTGCATTTACATGCTTCCCAGATGCACGGAGCTCCTGAGACAGAAGGTCATTCTTCCAACTTTGGTGTCAGCATGTTGAAGCAACGTGGATGGTAAAATAATATTTTGTGAGTAATTTCTCAGAACTTAAATTACATTCAAGCCAAAAAAAAAAATACTTTAATGAACATCAACATTTTCTCCAACTTTCAGAGTTGCTTTTCAAATTCAAAGAGAAAGTATTTCCCTTTCAGAGCAGATTTTCAGACCAAAACAAAAGCTCTCCTTGGAACCATCTCCTTTATCCTTCTTCTCCGTCCTCCCCTCCTGCATCCACACGTCCCCTGACTCTCCTTCCGGCTTCACCTTAAGTATCTCAAATTTGTTGTTATCTGTTCGTCTTTTTAGGCCAAATAATATATTTTCTTAGTTTTGGAAAGTCTGTTGGTTCTCCTTTAGTTGTACTCTTGTGACATTATTATGCCCCAAGAAACAGCATCCCTGAGTGGGCGGAGCCACCTCTCTCCCCCACCTGGTGGCAGGGCTTACAATCGGAGAGGGAGCGGTTAACAAGAAAAAAAACACCTCTAAGTGACACATGAACATGCTGAAGGAAGTGCTGTCTCCTCAGTGTGAACATAGAGCTGAAAGCTTGCTCTCAATGCCATTGTTCTCTATAGGACAGTCATTAGATTTGGACAGTGTGTATCACAGTATGCAGTGAGCTGGTGTCTTGCCTGGTCTTTAGCACTCAGCAGGACTTCCAGCTCCTCCATAGAGCGGCTCAGCTCCTCTCCACTGGTCTGGACAGCAGAAGGATGGCCCAGCTGGGCCTCCAGCTCCGCCACCTAAAACACAAACACAGACACACACATTTAATACATACTTTATTTTAAGGCAAACATCAATCTAACACATCCACGAGGACAATGTTCTCTGTAGATGTTAAGGGTAATACATGTTTAGAGTTGATTTTAAATGTTTTTAAATTAGTATTTTCTTTTCCAGTGTTTTGCCAAAAAACTGTTTTATTAAGTATTAAACACGTGAACAATTTGACCCAAGGATAAATGAAGGTTACGCCAACGTTAGCACATTTAGTCTTTACAGAATTAATATTTGTATCTATTTTTCAAAACAAAAGAAAAAACATTCATACACCACTTACACGTACAACATCAATCTACAAAGCAAAGTTAGCACAACATTGTCCTCAAAACCAGAAGATCCGGGTCAAGTCATAAAACAGGTTAAAAAAAACCATGGTGGAGCTACTGAGAAACTAACATCTACATCACTGAAACATGCAGGGTAAAAAATAAACAGCCCATCATAAAAGAATGCAATATTTATGCATTATATAATTTATTATTAAAGCGAGTTTTTTTTAAACCTTTAAACAGGTGGAATTTATTGTTTAATATTTAAAGGGTGCAGGGTGTGTACTTAGAGAAGAAGAAGCCACTATAAAAGCTTTGACATCCCAGATTCAGCATCATCTGAGGAAATGGGGGAGGTAACTTATCAGGAAACGTAGGGCAGGGGCGGAGGAACCAGTGAAAGTCATGAGTAGCTGGAGGGATGTTGTCCCTGGTTTATTAACAAGCAGACGGAAAGATACACAAGTCATATCTAACATGACACAACACTAAATACAATCATGAATGAAGTCTCCCACGTAAACAAGAAGGTTCACTTTTGGAGCCCAACTGATAAAAGTAATCGGTAGACTAGATGTATAGAAAGAAAGAAAGAAAGAATGAAATAGTATTTTGTATATATTTGAGTCATCATTTGAAAATCACAAGTTTTATGTACTGCTTAGGCAACATAAAGCTCATTTCAATTTAATTGAATTTAATTGAAAGAAGGAGAGAGAGGGAGAGAAGAGAGAGAGAGGAAGAAAGAAAAGGAGAGAGAAAGAGAAAAAGAGAAGGAAAGAGAGAGAGAGAGGGAGAGAAAGAAAATGAAGGGCAGCTATGTAATGAGGAGAATGATGCACTGGGATTTTATTTCAGCCGTTTTAAAATGAAAAGGCTTTGAAATGATTATACAAAACAAATTTTCTACAACCAGAGAACAAAAATGACCCCCTCAGCATCAACACACACAGAAACAAGGTTTCTATATGTTAAAAAGCTTTCTCTTGCCTTGAGATCTTTCATCAAATTTGCTGGAGGCAAATGACTTGAACATGAAAAAGGTTTTTCCAAATCTGACCCACTTCATTAACAGAAAGGCCAAAGAAGGACAGTGAGTGACAGTTTGACTAAAAAAGGGCAAACTGTTCAGCCTTTGAAGTCCGACCATGCTGTGATTTGAAGTTTGTGGTTCACCGAGTAACTGCTCAGTAATCCTTCAGGGCTTTGAAGCTCTGAAGAGTCTGAGCAAAACACAAACACAGCAGTGGTTGGAGGTTCGATTCTCCCTGGACTTCATTTACAACAAAAGAAAATCTATGTACTAATTTTTGCTTGCTCTGAGAAACATCGGATTAAGACAATAATCTAATTGTGTCTCGAGGGTCGAAACAGCTTGCGCAGTTGAATTAGAGAATTGTGTTCATGTTGTTGTTGTGTCCTCTGAAAACATGGATACATTGTGAGGAATCTGTGTGTTTAAGTGATGTAACGTTACATTACGTCTTTTTAGATAATGAAATAAAAAGGGTTTATTCTGAACACTGGACCAATTACATTAAACGGATCAAATAGTGTCACAAATCAGTGACTCGACTTTAGACATCACAGCTGACAGGATACATATCCGTTTTCTCATCTACTCTTGGGCTGTTGTTCTTTTACACAGTTATTTCTAATAACTAAATCACCTTAAATAAAGAGTTTAACATTTAACTTGTATCTCCACTTTAATCAAAAGACTTTATTTTCAGCGCATCAAGTTTTTTTTTTATATAGTTTTTCATAGTGCACTGTGATGGTGAAGTCACTAGTTTGGAGTTGTTGAGGTACTGGGACTAAACAAGTCATTGCATGGCCATACTAATTATTGTAGTTTTATAGAGCCAACTATTCCAGTGTCTAACCGTCAGATGAATCTATAATCGTATTCAGAGACGTTGTTGCAATGCTGCTCGCCCCCGTACCGACTGATAAAGGCTTTTTTTTGCAGAAAACAGAAAAATTCAAATAAGATACTTGAATAACTCCTTATTGAAATGTTTTAAGTTGTTGATGCAGGAACAAACAATGCTTGTTTCATTTCACACTGGATATCTGCATCAGCTCAGTGCGTGTAATGTAGATCTGTGTTTGAATGGAGGCAGCATTTTCAGCTCCCATGTTAACGTTTTCCTTTTCCTCACTTTACCATCTCCTCAGTATTTCCCACAGGCAATTTCAAAGAGGCTCTTTTATACATTCTACACTATGTCACATGACATCTAAGCCAAGCATCAGAAAAACCGCCGCAGGTTCAAGAGGGGTCCACAAGGAATCAACTCCTTCATATCCCACCATATGTGACAGCATCTGTCCCCAGAGGCTCCACTTCCATGAATCGAGCTCCACATGAAGAGATCAAGCTGTAAAAACTCGGATATCTATCGACATAAATATTCACAGCCATGTTTAATCTTTTTAGATTGACAGAATATTCAAATAACACAATGGCATTTTATATATTTCTATATTAATGGTATGTATGGGAGCAGGGGCCTGAAAAAGGTCAAACAAACACAGGAAGAAAGAAAGAGAAAGAAAAAAAGAAAGAAAGAAAGATGGTGGCTGTCTAAGTCGAGCCCTGGCCTGTAAATGTAATTTTTACTCTATTTTACATTGTACAAGGAACGGCTCTCTGTAAAGGACGTTTCATGAAACTACAGCAAGAAGTTTAGCTGTTAAAAAGAAAACTTTTAAACATTGAGACAAATATCAAGTGTCCCCTTTTCTTTCACTCAGCGTGTTCCCAGCTTAATACACTTTTAAAATCTTTCATTTCAAGTCATATCCACCTATCACATGTGAGCATGACAGCACATACAGTTTAGGTTTTTGGAGCTGCAACCACTAATGTAAACATTTTGACAAACGACTTTGAAAGTGCATTTGACTGAATCGCGTCTGCCTCCAAAATAAAAAAGAAGATTTTCCATTTTATTTGTTATTTTTGACATTGAATCACTACTTCACATCTTTAGTGGGGGAAAACAAATAAGAAAAAAACTTATAATGGAGTTTTTGTCTTATTTTAAGGTTTTACAGACTCAACAACTAATCAAGTTATTAATAAATAAACTGTAAATAAATACATGGTTGGAGAGCTTATACTTAATCCTTTTAAGGCAACAATCCCTTCAATAAGAAGTAACCATTATAAATACACTTTTAAAATTGAAAAACAGTAATTAATCAACATGTGGGTGTTTACAAAGAGTGTACAGTAAATCTGTACAGAATCCATAAAAGGACATGCACCCATACATTTCCCTGTGAAAATGGTTCATTTGTTGTTTTCTTGAAATCTCATTTTATTAATCTTGTTATATTTGTACCTTGGTTCTGAGAAGAATTCATTGTCAATAATCGTTTCCCTACAGTTTTAGAGCCCTGTTGTTATTCACATCCCTGCTGAACATGACAATCTCAAGATAACAAAGCTTGTATTCTTAAACATAAGAAATCTTCTTTTCAACCTGCAGAAATGCCTTAACGTTTTTTTTTTTTTCCCTTCTTTGATTGGTTTGTTTTCTTCATTGCCCTTTGTCAATACGGTTGCTTGATGTTATTTGAGTCTGCATTGCCTGCCACCAGCGGACAAGAAATCCAAATATATCTAACCAATGAACCCAGAAAACATCAGTGTCCAGTGTAAAGCTTAGTTAAGCTTTAAGGACTTTTCATAACAACATTCAAATGATTTGTTAGATAAGTAATCAAATAGTAATTAAATATAACATGCAACATTGAACAGGGTAACTAGTAATTTGTAATGCATTCTATGTCACAGAAAAAGTTCCCAGCATGCCATTCAATATATCTGGTGGTTTTAGATGATGGTAGGCTTAAAGGTGCAGATTACTGAGCAGGAACTCTTCAGGGCAATATTGGATTGTGTATGATTTCAAGTCAAACAAGACTTAAGAAATTAAATTTGATAATAGGTGTCATATTGATTTGAATAAACTTTCAAATAACTTAATGATTGTGCTGCTTTGATGTCGGTTCAGTAACACCCTCTGAGCTCTCCGTCTTCAGCCAGCATGTGAGTGAGAGCCGGAGAGTCTACAAAATGTTTATCTATGGGATTGACTTTGCTTAGCGTCTGGAAATTTGATCTACATCCAAATATCACAGACGACAAAAAAATCCTCAAAAACACAAATAAAAAGATAAACAACACACACACACTGAAACTCCGGCTCTGGATTCAAACAAACACTCCCGGTGTTTGTTGAACTTGAGTGATCGTGGTGCGTTTGTGTGCCTTATGACTGAGATTGATTCAGGATACTTAGACAATAGATGGGTCATTAGAGATGCTTGTTAGAAGGTCTTGTTTTAAAGTATATACTTATATATCTTAATTAATGTTGGTTGTACTTTGTTTTTGTTTTGTTTTAGTTATCTGTGTTCACTTACTGCTGGGAGAATGATTCTTACAAAGCACAGGAGGCTTTTAGTCAATTCTCCTTCACAGTTGCTTGAATTAAAAATATTGTAGGTGAATCTTAAACAAAAGGTAAAACAAATAAATGAATCATTCAGGGGCTACTTAGAACTTGGAACGGTTTCAGCAGGTAAATTAAGGGGGCCTAAATCACCATGCACAAAATGGGCTACAGCTACAGGTAATGTTGCAGTCTATTAACATGGAAAATTGCTTCCTAGCCCTTTTTTTTTTTTTGCAATGTGGGCGTTTGTTTGATGTATGGACTCTGCAAGTAGCCTTTTGCTCTTCCCCCTTACCTCTAGGTAAGTTAAGAACACAAAACGTGACGGCTGCTTTATTCACATAAAAACAGAACAGGGGGTCAGAGCCAACCCAAAAACCTAAAAAATAAACCCAGAGTCATTCTGCTGTGCAGGAACGCAAACATGGCTGAAGCAGAGAGCGTGAAGAGGGAGGAAAAGCCAGCCAACCCCTTTCCTCCTGCTCCTATGATGATTTATCTTCTCGCCTCTAACTGGGGCAGAGGGGGGGGAGGGGGGCAGTTAGGGTGTCCTGTCCCAAAAAGAAAAACGGAAAAACAACTATAACCCCCTCAACACCCCGTTACCAGACCCTGGAGGCCTGCTCCACTTAAAGCCACCTGGTTGTCTTTGCTGCAGTGTGTGTGTGTGTGTGTGTGTGTGTGTGTGTGTGTGTGTGTGTGTGTGTGTGTGTGTGTGTGTGTGTGTGTGTGTAACCTTCACCTGGACTGGTGGAGATAGATTAAACCACTACATGAGCTAAAAATAAAGGACCAGTCTGCTGTCACTGCTGGTAATGGCTCTGTTGCCGGCCGGTTGCAGCAGCACTTAATTCTGTCGCATCGAAGAAGCTTTGTTAAGCTTGACCAAGGGCAGAATTTTCCCTCTGTAAATTAAAGATGAAATTTCTTGTTTCTGGCCCTGCGATTATCACGGGAGCCTGTCAACAGAAATATCCCAAGGAGAGAGGGGAGGGGATGGAGGGATGAAAAATGCATCTGCAGTTTGGGAGAAACCAAGTCCATGTGGGGATTTGAGTGTGATAGTTATAGAGGATGAATATAAAAACAGCAGCATGATATACAGCTGGTCTCAGATTGGTCACATCGTCAGGGAATGACCTGAAAATGTTTCATGGAATAAAATCATATGCTGTATTTCTCCTTTGGTTATGTACAGTTTGTTTTTTTCATGTTAGATGCATTTATAGCAAAAATCTGGGTTTTAATTTATAACCATGTATGTTTTTTATAATAAATAATCCAAGTTACAGTAAATTAAGTACAATCTAAGGTACATGCATTTTAGAATTAATACTGTTAATATTGTTTTGCATGTATTTTGGCAAGGTTTACACCAAAATTGAAAAGAAATACTTTGCAGCTAGTTTAGGTGTCCTCATTTTAAAATAGGAATGTGACAAAATGATTTATAGTGTGACTTGTTTTGGATGGATTTGCTGTGGGACACATTTCTCCTTTGGGTGTTCAGTAACTGACAGGAAGCTAAAACAAAATGCATGAAAACACTCAAGTGAGCATACTGAAATAAAACTTGAAGTAACTGAGATGGATTACCTTTTGTTATAAAGTTGCCATCATTGGTTATAAAACCATATTTACAAAATGGGACAGTTTTGAACACCAACAATAGATGTTGGCTAATGTGTGGTCTATTGTTTAATCTTAAATGTTTTTGTATTGTTGTTTTTTTTTTGATGGACCCCAGGAAGGAAAGTTGTTCCTGCAGAAATAGCTACCAGGGATCCTATGTGTACATATAAACAAATAATAAATCAAAATAGACAACAATCCCATTCCACAAGACAAAATGCGTGCCAGCTTTTGTATTTCTTTGTGTATTCTTAATTCTCATCCGCCTTTACCGAAACATCCTGAATTGCACCACACCGTTATAAGCTGCAGGTATATTATACCATACAGTTTTTATTTAACCCACTCTCTACATGACCACCCTGTGCATCACCTGGTCTTTGAGGCGATCAGTCTCCTCCTGGTACTCAGCGAGCTGCTTCTTCCACTGCTCCACACTGCCGTTAGCTTCCTGCAGCGCTGCCACCAGCTTAGCATTACTGTCCTGCAGGGTGAAGAGTTCAGCCTCCAGGTTTATCTCACACATGGACCTAAGGAGAAGTCACAAAAACACAAGAGTCTTAAAGCAGAACTAACTTGCTTTTTTAGAGTACCGTACAAAGCAGGGAGTGGCTTATCAGTGCTATTTTTCTGCCATCTGTGACTGAAAACAATGACGATGTTAGCAGTTTGAATAAACCAAAACACTGAGCTGAAAGACACTAAAACACCCAGGAGTCAGAAAAAACTCAAAAACACTGCAAAGTCATGTGAAAAATATAATGGATTACAACTGACATAAAGAATTTAGGCAGACTGAAAAGTGCAGAAGAAAATGACGTCATGAAGTGAAACTTGGTATTTCATGCCACAGCAGATGTTTGGAGAGCTTTAATTGAAATATATTTGATTTTAAAGAGCCATACACCCATGTATTTTAAATTTATGAAAGTGGTCAAACCAGATGAATCCCTGTCATCATAAATGTGCTACATTTAATGACTTGTAAATTACCCTCAAAAATGACTTTTCTTTCTTTCTCTTCATTATTAATGTAGTGTAATGTCCTTTTTTCTCTTTTTGTCATGTATGTATTGGAGAAGCCCATTATGATACGATCCTGTATATTTGGTACCTGTGCATTTAATGTGATACCAATGCCAACAGTGTACTTCATTTGATGCCAATCATGTGAATGAGAAGATTGAGTTGCATGAAATTCCACCGAACTGTACAACTTAGTAAACATTTGTACAGATCGATTCAGTGATCGACAGCCTTTCCTCCAGTCCCATGTTCACTTCATATTAAAGTATTAATTAGCTTCTAAATCAGACTTTGTGCGTTATATGATCACACTAAGGATTTGAATATTGTCTGTTTACATTGCACAGTGTCTTTAAGTTTTATACTGTAGGATTTTTTTCACTCTGACAGTAGGTGCAATGCTGTGTACGAGCTTTCTAAATGTTTGGTCTACTTCTTTTATGTGTAAACCTATTTGGCAATAAACCCCATTCTGATTCTGAATTCAACAATCACATGACACATTTAATCCAAGAATGCTTGCTGTGATTGGCTGCAAGCAAACCATAAAAATGTTTTTTTTTTAACTTTTAAACGCACAGTATGTTAATACTCCACCAAACAATAAAAACTGTTGATGTCGAGGCTGTGCAAGTTACACAGGAGTGATACTCAGAAACTCGACCCCCACCACTGATGAAAATGAACTCCGAGTTGACCATAGTCAAGACGAACGGACGGAGCAGACCTGAGGAAGTGAAAATGTTTAACGACGAGGGAATGTATCCAAATATAATTGACGCATTACGTTTTGATCACAGCAGCACATACAGTTCCTGCTTCCTTATGTAGCAGTCTTTGACTTAACATTCAGAGTATCCATGGCAACGATAACCATGTCGTGTCTGGCCCGTTACACTATGAAATGATGGCTTTCTCTGACTCTGATAACAGTTGGAAAGACTTGAGGTAATGTACAGTAAGTAATCAACCAAAAAATATTGGTATATCACATGGTTTAGTCCATTTTTAATTCATTTAGATATTTTTAAGTGTAATAATTCTACATGTTGTATCTTTAAATGTTGGTATCATGTGACTGAAGTATTTTTTAACCGAATTGGAACCTGGGTTATTACATTAGAGGGTAAAAAAGGTGACAAATGCCAAAAGCCGGGTCAGAACAGTGCTGCTAATTATAAGTCTAAGTCTATGTTTAAAAAACAAACAAAAAAAAAACAGTACCCCTTTGTATTTCGTCAAAAAAAATAAAAAAATAAAAAAACAGGAAGGAATTATCCGCAGTTGTGCCAGCAGCCTACAGAGCAGCTCATTACCTCAGGATGTGGGGCTCCTACATTCAGACTCTGTACTTCATAAAAAATGGGTTTGTTTATTTTTATTTTGTTTTTTTGGTTGTAGCTTAAAGGGTCTACTCTGTATTCTTTCTAAAACCTTGTTTTGCTGAATGCTACATAAATGAAATGTGAACCTTACAACATGTGACAGAACAGAAAAAAACATGATGCACCTTTAACACAGAGACAACAGGAAAGGCAGAAGAAATCCATCGCCACCTGTGATGTTTTATCTTTTATTAACACCTGGGAGAGGAGATAAGGTGCTGTCTGACGGTAAAGGTCAGGTTTTAGTGGTGATATTTAATAAACTAGGGAGCTTTCTTATGAAAACATGGAGTTTAGGAAACAGAGTCTTTGACAGACTAATAGCTTGGCAACCATAAAACCACTCACCATAGCAGCCGGAGAAAAAACAAACCCTCATGGGTTTATGACAATCATTAAATAAAACTGTTGGGATAATAGACTGTAAAGCAGCCAGGTATGAGTGTTTTTCTGCTTCTAGGTCTCAGAGTGATCTGAGGGTTGAGTGATCAATAATAGGCACCATAATGATGATAATAAAAGGCGGCAAAATTCAGACATAATCACACATCATAGAGCCAAGACAGAACCAGCGGGGTGTTTTTAAAGCAGACTGAACTTCTAGCTAATAGTTCAATCTTAAATATGTGACTCACTGACAGCTCTTTTAGTTTAACTTTGAATATTTCCAAAGAACTAATCTTACAGAGCAGCTTTCTTTCGTTTAGTTTAGCAGCACTCACTGCTGCTTAACAAAACTGTGTTTCCTTGCTTTTAGTCTCCAAATATCCTCAATAAGAGTTACTCTGACAAAATAAGTCCAAAAAACAGGCCTATTAGTTTGTGTTGGCATGTAACAGGTTTAATGAAAGAGGCCAATTTGTCACCCTATCAGAATGTTCTGTCTCTGCTGTTTCTATGCAGAAACATTCTTATCTTCCAGCACTGTGATTGGAGGTCCCGCTTACGAACAGAGTGCTTAGTAAACCTAAATCAATAAGAGATTAATTTCAAATGACAGTAACAATTGAACAATTACATCTTCCATCTTAGTGTGTTGGCTTTGTTATATCAGTTTTTTTTATATAAATTCTGCCCGCAGTCAGGTGCACGAATCACAAACTTAAAGTTGTCCAGATAAGATAACAAGTTTTCCCCCACAGGCGCATGTTTGATGACTATGAGGACATAGCAGCAAATGTATTATCTATCCTTTTTCCTAGGTAAACTTTTTATATAATGTTTATTTGGGGGCTTTTAATGCCTTTATTTAGAGACTTTATTTATTGGTCCTGTGTGGTAGGCTATAGAAGAGAGGAACTATCACGCTTAAACAACCCAGCCAATTGTCAGCATACTCTGATCAGGTGCACGAGGAACTGCTGATAATTATCTGTGTGTTTAATGCTGCTGAAGACCATTTATACACTATATTTGTGTTCATTGTTTCCACCAAAATACTAATCAGAAAAAGCTTTTAAATTTGAATTGTGTAAAAAGGCAACTATGTCTTGACCAGAATTTGACTTGAACAGTTTGAGGCAGAGAGCTTGTAATGCTTCTTTCTGCCGAGATTTCCAATCCAGAAAATATTTTTTAATTTCATGCTGTCAGTTCTTTGATAATGTGTCAAAAAGAAGCTCTTGTTCCAGAAAGCCTTTCAGCTGTAGAGTGGGCACCAGTCTGCTATGTGGATGAATAACACTTTCTGTTGTTTATTGAATAAATCCTGAAGTCTGGCACTACAAAACCTGCTCCCTGTGCTGCGCAGGTCATCTGTTCTGTTTGGTTTGTTTAAAGTTTTTCGTTTAAACAACCTGAAAACAGTTTTCAGTTGATGAGTGAGTGGCAAGAGATGACATGATACATTTAATGTTAGAAGAAGACTTCATATTTAATGACATCTGTGATATTTGAATGAATAGGCCTAATAGCCTCATAGATACTTTAAATGAACTATCACATGAGGAAGAGTGATATTGTACATCTCAGCTATGAGTGTGGTATTATTTTTACATTTAATTTCTTAAAGTAGCAAATAGTATTCAAAAGTGATAATCAACATCACATAACTTTATGCTCCACCAACGCAACTAGTTCCACAACTTCACTGAAACTGGACTGTTGCATAGCAACCCAAGCATTCTCCTTCACTCTTGCTATTTTGTTGGTCTCCATGGTTACAACTGATCAGCTACTTAGTTTTATGTTCATTTATTTGTAAAAACATCATAAAAACGATGTTCATCTGTGAAGATTATCCTGCCTATGCTTCAGAAACGTGCGTTTGCCACAGAGCTTATTTTCTGCAATGATCCAAAATCCAATGCAAAAATCCCATAGGCGAATTCTCGTTAGACCCCATGGCGATGCTACTTCCGGGTTGGCCTACAAAAATACGTCACATGGTTTGTTCTCTATTGTCTCGAGCTCAATTCTCCGGAAAATATCCTGCTGCGTTCTCACATCAGCCCACTCGGACTTGCTGCGGAAACAATACTAGGGGTCTGGCAGGAGAAACTCCGGGTGAAGTATGAGTGAAACATTTGGCTGTTTGTGTTCACATGTAGCCTACAGCTCCTCCGGGAAATATCGTGAGTTTTTCAGGAGATTTCTGCTAGTGTGAAATCCCAATATACTGTATGATCACTTACGGTATGGAATTCATCTTGTCTAATCAGATTACTTGGTCAGAACTAACTGTTGTGTAAAAGTTAACAATTCTCACAGAGACTTTGATAAAATAAAATATCTTAAAAGCCTTACCAGATATGTACACTTCTTTGGATCAGTTTAATGATTTCTAAGTGTTTTTAAATCATAATGTCATTGTTTTTTTGATGATATTGTAATTGTTTTCTCCTTTTCTCCTCTTAACAGAAGACATGTATTAAATGGTTGGAGTAAGTTATATTCACTGTGTAGAGCTCCTTAAACTGCTGGAAGCATATACTGCTCTGCTCATGTAGCCACGCTGAGACAGGATCATAACCTCTGTAGAAACTTTCAAGGGATGCATTCCTCATCACGACTCCCACACATTCATCTGCGGGCTGCGGCTCTAACTTTTTGGTATATTATTATTAAAGATTTATGTCATTATTCCTGTTCTGCTGGCCAAGTATTCTTTATAAACATCAGAAGCTTTGAGCGTAAATTCACAGTGCACACTGTCTCCGCTCTTTGTGTTTCCTTTGTTAGTCTTTCTGCTCTAGATGTCAAATAAACCTGCTAGATTAAACAGATGTTAAGTATGCTGTCTCATAAATGTACTCATGCAAAATGTATCAAAGCCAGTACTGTCAGAGCTGTCAGGTCCAATTTTTTTGGTACACCCCAAAGAACACTTTTCACAAAACAGCGGAGAGGAACAATTATGGAATGCAAAAGGAAGAAATGTATCTCCACAGAAGGTGAACAAAAATATTTATATTGTGTTCATAGTATCCAAAACAAACTAAACTACTTGTAACTGAGATTGTAGGCTTTAACTACATCTAAATGTAAAAAGTTCTCAGTGTCCTTCTGATAAATGTAAAATACAAGAAGCAGTGGAAGTAATGATGTCTGGAGTGCTGGGTGTACTCTTAATTTGTGCCCCAAATTTATTTTAAAGAGGCCCGTCAAGCAACAGATGAAAGCCCTGTGGTATAACAAGTGACATGTAAGACTTCTTGGATATTTAATTTAACACCCAAAAATGGGACAGTAGTATCTGCACATTTTTACTTAACTTCTGCTGCTTCTTCAGGGGGTTACGAGGATGATTATGAAATTAACATTAGAAACAGAGGAGGCGCAGATTTGACAGTTAAAAACTAGCACGTGTAGTTATGTATTTACAGTGAACCACTCCTCATTGTATTAGTCCATGCAAACACATTATTGTTCTTTGTACTATAATGAGTACTGCAGCTTCCCTTAAACAGAACGCACTTTACACGGAGTATGCATACAGGTTGGATATATTTCTTTATTCATCATAACATAGCACCTTGATCTTTGACCCTCTTTCAAAAGCAATAGAAGCAGTCTGTAGCTGATTCATGTCTGCTCTCTTTGGGGCCTTGCTGATGTGAAGTACCTTCTGATGTGCAGAGGATTTGAGGGTCAGAATAGACAAGAAGCGAAAGCACCCGCAGGAATCAGGAAGGTTTTTTCACGAAAACGGAAAATGTCATCTATCTTTTATGGTTTGCCAAAACAACGGTTGTAAAAAACCCACAAGAAACTTCACAAGTGCCTCGGCAATTACCGACTGTGTAAGATTCTTTGATGCTAAATGGTCGTTTGATAATGAGTATGTTTTGTTCCAAGGACAAATCGCCATTTCACTGAGTGAGAAAAGGAAATAATATGACATAAATCCTTGTATCCCCTTCACCAAACCACCTAAAAAGAAATGTTACCAGGTGATCCTAAAGTTCTAGAAGCTATTAAGCCAGATTTTCTGAAGACAACATGAGGCCTGGTGATGCAGTAATGTTGCTGCTGAAGCAAAGAAAAACATTCTCATTACCCTTCTGACAGCATCTTTTTGACCCTCTCCTTCTCCACCGTCAGCTCCACTTCGGCGCTCTTGCTGCGGAAAAGCTTTTCCTCTCCGGGCCCGTTGACTGTAAGCAGAGGTGGAGAATGGCGGTCCTCTGACAACTCCTGAACCAAAAACACAAACAAGACATAAGCTCTGTTACAAGGCTGAAAGGAAATCAGTCACAGCTCTGCTTATATGGCGTGAAGTTCCTTCTGTAGCTGCACTAACCCTACTGAAAGGAAACCAAAGGAAAGGTTTGAAACACAAGAACCCTATTGTGTTTAAAGTGCTATAAACTGGAGAAACAAAACCTTCTATGGAGTTGTTTGGGATTACAAAATAAATCCGGATCAGCTACACTGCAGTTTTCCTGTTACAGGAGACAAGAGTCCTCTCCAAGAAACTTTCCCTTTAGACGTCAGGAGCATGTGGAACTTTACAATTAGTGCTTTCTTTTCTGCACTACATGATTTTACTAAGAGCGGCTGTTCAAAATGACATATTGTTTAAATACAACACAATATGATGGTGGATACTGTTGATACAAGACAAAGCTGAATTCAAGAGATTCATTACTGTCACTGTATTCAGATTTGTCATCAGAAGAAAACAAGACAAGTCACAGCAGCAGGCAAGGACAGAGCTCAACCAGTCGAGGACTGACATGTTCCATCTGGGCTCCTGTAGACGGGCTCCATGCAGAGAAATGTGTGGAGTCCAGCTGCTACACAGATCTGATTAGATTCAACAGGAATAGATCTTATGCAAATAGTTCATCTGGTGATTATGTGCTTGATAAATATGCACACGGTGAAGTCATGCAGAGATGTAGGATTGCTGAGATATGATACCCTGACGACCAGGCTGAAAGGCGGGTTCAACTCTGTGTGAGACTACAGGTGGAACTCGGTGTGACTTCAGATACCTGATAGTGCCACAATGTATGTCTTAGTGTTTTCATTAAAAACTTTAATTAGTTTGAGCTGTTGTAGTTATATGATTGTCAGCTGGATTTAATTTTTTTTTTTGAAAGATAATTAGGTAATAATGATTAGGATAATCCCCAAATAAGCTCACACAAAAGTCTGGTTTAGTGAAAGCCTGAGTCTGTTAACCTTTGTGATGAGGGAAACTTTGGGTTTTTCTGTTTCAGAAAGGGAGGTCACTCAAAACCGAGAAAGAGGAGTACATCCAGCCTGTCACAGAAAGAGAGGTAACTTTAGCTCCAAGTCTGTTATTATGGTAACCGAGTCTGTGAACATAACCTGGTCCGGAGCAGGTTTTCGCCGCCTCCTCCCTCTTTACAGAGCCAGAAACAAGGTTTCATTTCCTCATTCATTCATTCAGACCGTATCAGGCGTGTGCTAGTGGAGATTCATCGTTTGTCTGAGTAAAACTCCAGGTAGTTTTATATCATCTGTTTGGCATACTATAAAAACATACTTTTTGTCGAACGTTACTCAAGATGAAGGGGCTGCATTAGGCCACTCCGCAGGGAGTTATGTCAGGGGATGTTAATTAAATCAGGCATATCAATTAACTAAACTGAATAAAGGTGAGAAGACATAAATGTGAGTGAGATCAGCTAGGGATGAAGCTAAGGCACATTGAAAAACAGTGCAGTACGTGCTGAACTCTGGAACCTACTCAGAGTTGATCATGGCATTTTTGTTACTTTTGTTATTGTTGTTTTTATTTATCATGATACAAATTTTGCTTAGAAATACATTTAAAACTCAATTGAAACTAGAACTGAACAAAATAATCTAAACGGTAGAGTTTGACTGTAAACTTTTAAAGGAGTTTGCACGGATAAATTGGTCAGTGGTCCATCGACTGTTTCTGTTTAAATGTCAGTCATTGCAGTGCAGAGCTACTTGTGTCTTAAAATAACTCAGACAGTAATTAGTGTCTAGAATGACCTTGCTAATATCACAGAGTGATTTTGAACATCTGCACAGTTGGTGTCTCATATAAGCACGTACCCTGCTTGCAGCCTGGTTATAACATCAGGACAGTATTACATTATGTTCATACAGATTTGGATGCTGAGAAAGTTGCAGGTTGAGCTTTCAAACTCATTCATGCTTTTTGCATTATTTAACGGCTATATCTGCTTTTTCCCGTTTGCCCTTGAAAGGAGTACACAGTATAAAATGATACAGTAAAGAAAAAATCATTAATATTTCTTGAATGTGAAGTGGAGACTTGGAGTATGACATTATTGCATGCAGATGGCTTCACTCCAGTCTGGCACAGGCACATCTATCCAATCTGCTTTCAGATTTTCCCTCCCTGCTGTTCAGAAATGGGTTGAGGCTTATTATCACAGTTTTGTGAACGTTTTGAGGCTGTGGGCTTTAAGATTGCCCTGACTCCTTTCTAAAAACGTGAAGATGAATAGTCTTGAGCCAAACTTTGAACCCCTGCTGCCTTCTGTCTTCTTCTTGAGTGGAAACCTAAAACCTGAACTTGTCAACAGCTGAGTGCCTCACTGAAGCATCTGAAGCCTGCACTCAGTGTTGAAAAGAGCTTGTATTATTAATTCGAGGAAGCCTGGTTTTGTTCCCCTGAGGAGGACGGTTTATTATCTATAGCTCAGCAGTTCTCCGTCTGTCCTTATGGATGATATTGAAATAAAACGCACAGCCCCACTGATGTGGACGAGCACCGTGTCCAGAGAGCAGGGGAAAAAAATCAAAGCCAAGATAACTCCAGTCTGGCCCCAAAGCCAACGGATCGACTGAGCATATCCCTGAATAATTCATACTGTGGATCATGTATAAGTCATAAATGGGATTACAAATTTACAGCAGTTTTTCAGTATGTTGTTCACTAACAGGCTGAGTGGAAACAAGTCAGAGACACAAGAGCACGAGCCTACAAACAACAAACAACTAATCAGCCAGAGTTCAAAGGATTTTTCAATTTTAAAAGAACATCTGCGTATTGTCTTTTTTTTTTTTATTTCCATTTTATATTTTCTAAAAGTGTAGGTTTATAAAATTTTGATAAGGGTGAAAAGGAAAACTCTATCTGCATTCTGCCACACCGTATACATTTTAGAGACAATATTAGGATGAGACTGCTTTTGTGTCGCTCTGGCCATCACTAACAAAGCTTTTACTCTACACCAGCTGTGCTTTGAAGCTCAAGTTGGTCTGAAGTCAACTTTAATCAAACTACGGATGAATTATTGATAGTCCATGCAGCGCGAAGACGCTTTTTACTATGAACACCACTAGTCTCTTATACAAAAGAAGACATCTGTCTTTGCGTTTAAGGGTTTGTGTTGTTTTTGATTTACATACCTGGGAGATCTAGGAGATGAAAAAGTCCAGTGATGCATCAAGGAATGGGAGGACGGGGCACAATGTGGGGAAAGAGAAAAAATATAGTTAGATCGCTGAAATAAAGCATTAGGTACTATGTTTTTTATTTGATCTGATTCACAATCCATGCTAGATCATAGTTTGTGCACAGATGATGCACAGGGAAGTGCAGAAACAACAGAAGAGAGCACCTAGCAGCATCGTTAGCAACCCGCTTGGTGCAGAAAGAGTACATTTTTATTTATCAATCGTGAATCAGAAATGATAAAAAATTACAAGACATCCATTTATGACATCTGTACTAATGTAAAGACCATACATGTGAAGAAAGTTGTTTTTCAAACCACAAACCCCTTTAGCAGGGACATTAAGAATAATTTTTTTTGGGTCCAGGGAGGAGTCTGGATGGAACCCCAGATACTTAAAATATTAAACAACTTTCTCGAGAAAGCTTTCATCGTGAGGTCTCTGCAACACTTTTGGACTTAAGTACATCTACACTGTTTACTTATTTATCCACGCGTCATTCCATGTGCTCCCTGAGCCTTTATAAAGCTCCTGTTTCCACACTCATCATATCATTGAAAATACAAACCTGCTTTATTTATTCATCTGTCCGTGCAGCAGAGGTGCACGCTTAGGTTTCCACTAAAATATCTGTCCACCAGATAACACACATAGACACAGAGACACATGCTCTTTAGCTGGCTTTAAAGAAAAGTCTGAGCTTTAAAATATTGAGTGTAGGTTGTGTGCTCTGTCTGCCTCTGCATAGAAACCATGATTGTGAGGAGGAAAAAGGATCCAATCAGCAGGCACAAATTCAGACAGCAGTTACCTGTCTCTACTCTGTGCATTTATTTACCTTTCCTGTTAGGGTTAGTTGTCCCTTACATTCATTCCTGAGCTCAACATCACATTTTATATTGCACATGTTTTAATTTGAACTAATTTAAAACAGCAAGTTATTGATCACTTAAAATAAAAATGAATGAACTGTGTATCTGATCCAAGAATTGTGGATTTTAGGCAGAAAACATGTAATAGATTAACTTGAAGGGAAAAAACAAGTTTTTCATTTTCAGCTTGTCATTTGCATTTGAAGACCTTTTCTCCTCTTTGTCAGGAATATTTGTAGATGTTTTCTTCTTTCGACATACACAATGACATGGTAAAGTTTGAAATTCCCACTAAGGAGGCTTCACTTAAACTCTGCAATGATGGGCATACTAATACATGAATATATTGTCTTCTATATCATTCAATTGTTCTTTGTCTTTTCACTTGTCAGTTCTATAACTCTCTCGGCATCACTCTGTTTATCATTCTTTGTCTTTTAGCTCTGTGAACCTCACCATCTCCTCCTCCATCTTATCTCTGAGCTCTGCAAATAAGCCTGAGAGCTGCAGCTTTACTGCATGCTGATCCCCTGCTGCCTTTAGAGGCAGAATATGTGCTGTGCACACTCAGCCCGAGGCTGCACACATTCAGCTCTGCTGTACAGGAGATGCTCACTGACCACGCTGCAACTGACCAGCTGAACTTGATGCAAAACATACTGATACCCTGAGTGGAGACGAAAGCAACACACAGCAAACATTTAAATAAAGATTGTTTTCATTACTGTGTAGACCAGCGATTTTTGTTTATGCAATTTATCAGTTTTTCGTTCTGCAGTTCAAAAGTGGCTGTGGTGGGTTTAAGTGTGTCTGCAGTATAGAAAATGTCTTCTTCTGCATCTTGAATTTATGTGTTTGCTAGAAACACATTAATAAAGTTTCAATAAATATTGTAAACAGTTTCTTTCAAGACACCTAATGTACATATTCTATATAATATTGCTTTATATTTTCCCTGTTTTTTTGAGAAATGTCAGTTTCTTAAGAGTAGATGGTCTAAGATGTATCCATACAACAGACCTCACACACATAGTTTCCCCCTTTTTTAATTGTGTTGTTTTTTTCCTCATTTAATGGGGCAGTATGTACTCACTGCTTGATATTGTTGTTTCCTCTGTGTTGTTCTCTTCTCTTGCGTAACAGAAACAATTCTCATCTATTTCTACATTTATTATTTTGCATCAAAACAAGACATCTCTTGTTTTGGAATTTATTTGTCAATAAACCACATTCAGATTCAGATATACATAAAAAGAAACTGTTAGTTTTTTTTCCCACAGTTTTCTTGGTCTTGCCCACAGTAAGACCAGGGTTTGTGTTCAACCTTAAACAGAACACACAGTTTGGGATAAAAGCCTTAATGAAGCTCTAAACTTGTAAACGGCTCACTGATGCTTTCATCAATACTTGGCTGTAGTTCACAACCACAATAACATTGTGTGCTCAACACCTTTGATTGGCTATTATTTATAGAATACACAGGTTCAGACAGTCAGCAATGTACAGTGGTCGTTAAGTCAGAAAATGTGATAATAAACACAAGAACCACAGTGTGCACCGTCTGACACAAAATCAATGAGCCCTGTGTTATCTAGAAAACTCTACGTGCTGCCTGCCTGACCTTGCAGCTCTATCCAGGTGTGTGTGTGTGTGTGTGTGTGTGTGTGTGTGTGTGTGTGTGTGTGAGTGTGTGTGTGTGTGCGCATGTGTTTGCCTAATCAGTCAATTTGTGTTTATGCATGATGATGTGCTGGTTGCCGTAGTAACTGGATGTAACACCATTTCATGCTGTTCTCTCACTGACCCTGAACTCTGTGTGTACTTCAGCTCTGCACTTAAAAATTAACTTGCAGGTTGGAGAGCCAAGTGAATCAAACTGTAGGAAAATAACTTTTTAAACAAAATGTATGAATTAACTCCTGTAGTAAAGGGCGGCTGTGGCTCAGTTGGTAGAGTCGTCGCCTCTCAACCAGAAGGTCAGGTTTTTCGATCCCCAGCTGAACAACATGTCCGATGTGTCCTTGGGCAAGACACTTATTCCCGCAGTGCTCCCGCTGCTTCGGTGGCTGTGTATGAATGGATTAGTGTTGTACTTACTCTCTGATGTGCGTCTGCAAAGTGAATTTCTTTTTTTTCTTTTTGTAAGTTTGCATAGAAACAGACAACCGGATGTGATGTGACAAGGGAGTCCCAGGGATTAAGGTTGTGTTTTACGTCAATAAACATGGATCTAAATGCAGGTGTTGGTCAGGTCAATGAAAAGGAAGAAATCTTTATTCATACGCATACGAGCGTCAACAGGTTTATGTTTTGAAACCTGTTAGTTTTAAAAGAGAGCAGGAGCTAGTCAGGATAGTGTGGTTTGATGAAAACCAACAACACATGTCATGGTTAGTGACTAGCGTAAGTGAGGGATATCTAACAATGTGTAGTCTGTTCTCAATTATCAAAGGCCTTAAAAAATATCGAGCAGTATTAAGTGAACCTGGTCTTGTGTGTACTGAACAGACCGCACATTTGTCTCACACGGTACTAAACTCCCTCATATCAACAGGAACAATATTTCAGTCTGTTCTCTCTACAACACTTCATACACAGACAAAAGAACATCAGAATGTATCTGATAGTTTTAGAGAGGTCAGGCTTTGCAGTATGACTCTGCAGTCTCTCAGAGCTGCTGAGTGCTTCTTTGTTAGAATCTCTATACCCTAAACACACACTTTAAAAACCCAGCCAGCTGAACACTCTCTTAATCCAAATACTTGACAGAAATATCTCATAAACAGAGCAGAGCAGCTCTAAAGCTTTGCAAAAGTCAGCGTGTGACACGGTCTCCTCTATGTTTGTAGAATTAAATCAAAGCCACAAAAACAGGGTGCGTATTAGTGAATGTCGCAAATGTCAGAAAATACCGCTCTGTGAGTAAAGGTCACTCAGGGGCAGCTAGTTACGTGAAGACGATAATGTGAAGGATGAAAAAAGTTCCACTGCAGGGACATTTTTTTACCTCTTCGATTGAACCACAGAGTAATCAAGTTCGCCAAGAAATCGCCATCGCTGGCAGAATAAAGGCCATTGTCATTTCAGCAGCAGCCAGATTCCATCAATTATACATGATTAAGCTCCCCCTCCTCCCCCTGTCCCTGCTCTCTCCTCTTAGTTTTCCTGATCCCTCATTCTTTTTCTCTCAGTCTGAGCCATTACTGTCCATCCACACACCTTCAGCGCCAGAGTCTCTTCTTCCTCACTCCATTTGCAATGCATGATATCTTTTAATGGAGTTAACCAAAGGGGGGATAATGAAGCGACCAGATGGGGACCCATCTAATCCCTGGTGATTCTGTATATGTTCAAAATAGAAACAGAGTTCATCATAATATCCCTGCGATGCTCTGTCTCGGGGGTTTGACAGACCATCATATCCCTATGAGCTCCCACGTCCTTATGCTGCAACCTGAACCTGCTCTCCATCCTTATTCAAAGGTTGTGATGCAATAATCAGCAAACACTTGCACTTCAAGCTATTCAGATTCCAGCTATTTTTAAATCACCACTTAATGATGTCTGCATACAAGGTTCATCACAGCTTATTTTGCTTCCTTTAATTTGCCTCCATCATTCTACTCATCCTTCCTTCCATCCATACAGCCATCCCTATCTCCATCTATCATCCATACCATCAATCCATCCATCTCCATATATGCATCCAGCCCTCTCAATCTATCCATCCAAATTCATCCATCCCATCTATCATTCATATCTACTATCCGTACCACCTATCTATCTATCCATCTCCATGTATCCATCCTTCACCATCCTTCCATCCATCAGGATATGCGTGCCCTTGTTAAGCCTCATCTGCAATATGTAATGCACAAAGGCAGAATTGTGTTGTGAAGCTGTTCTGCGGCTAACCTGCCATTGGAGGTAGTAACAGAGGCGTAACAGTGCTAGATTTAACATTGGCGCCAGAGAGCCTCTCATCCTTCTGCAATGCCATAATGCAATGTGGAATAACACATAGAGAGACACCAATATTAAGCTACTGTGGATGCAAATGTGCAAGTACAAAGGCGTTATTCATGGGGAACCACAGGAATCTGAAAATTCAATTTACAAAACACTAAAGCGCTGTCTTTCCAGAAACAATGTCAAGTATACTCTGGAAAATCCAAACCATTTGGATGGTCTCAAAATATAAAATAAGTGTTTTATTTTTTTCAGATCAGCCATTGGAAAGCAAGATTTTTTTAAGGTTTATTTTTGGACTTTGTATGCTTTTATTTAGTGATAGGACAGTGGAAAGACTCAGAAATCAGGGAGAGAGAGCGGGGTAGACACAGGCTGGGTTCAAATCCGGCCCACTCGCTTTGAAGACTATAGCTTCTGTACATAAGACCCGTGCACTAACCACTAGGATACTGGTACCTCATAATAGACTGATAAATTAACATGAATACATTTATCACTTTGGAATCTTGATTTATTTTATTTCATTAGTTTGGCTCATTAAGCCTTTAAATCTCATCCTTTAGCCCAATGCAATACAACTGATACAATTTAAACTGGATTATTTTAAGTGTATTTGAGCATTTTTTCTTACATTTGCTCTAAATAGCAAATACGCTTGAACATTTAGGACAGCACACAAGAACTGTGAGGAAGATGAAGGGTGCTTTACCTCTGGAGCAGCGATGTTGAGTGCAGGATTAGCTAATTCAAACCTCTCCTGAGATTTCTCTCTGGCCAGACGGGCCGCCTCTTTCACCTCCTTAAACTGCTCCGCAAACTGCACAAGGACAGACAAAGTCAATCTCTGTCTGACAAGAAAAGCCTAAAAATTCAACACAACATACATAATGTACATAGCACTTGTGTTCAATGCAGCTTCATTCATTGGTAACAAGAATATTGGTTGATTTATACTGCATTGTCCAACTTCTGTGACCTTGGACTCTTCTTAGATCTCAATCTGCATGTTTTCCTACAATCAGTCTTGTCAGCGTCTTACAGACAGTGAAAAAAAGAATGTTGGCAGACTCGTGTTCTGCAAAGGTCATGTTTTCTGCCAGCTTAAAATGAAAATCTTGGAGAAGTGAAAAACAATCTGCATTAAATTGTGTTTGAAAATGCTTGCTGGAGATGTTTTTTTGTTGAAATTTAAACCAGCAGCAAATGATATCGACAGAATCAGGATTAAAGTGTAACTAAGAATTTAAAATGGAGCAGACAGGGACATCAGTGTAGTTGCCCACATGCATCCTTTTCTCTATGCCCTCTACGGAAAAATATCTAATGTTTGAAAGACGCTTTGAATAACTCTGTTTAAAGGTTGCTGAAGTGTGTGTGTGTGTCTACTTGTGTGTTGGTCACCTGCTGCAGCTGCTGTTCCGTGGAGAAGCCCAGCCCGTAGACGGTGTTGGCCCGGCTGTCGGCCCACTGCCCAAACTTCTGGGAGGTTTTAGTGAACGTCATGTTGGGGGTGATGGTGCTGTTGATGATGGCCTGACAACACAAAGTACAAAAGAAGAAATGAATACATACATTTCAAAACTGGATACATTTCCACAACAGCAAAAAGGAACTTTGTAACAAAAACAACATGATTCTACAAGAAATAGAAGATTTTATAAAAGCAGAGAGGGAACAGAGATCAACACGTGTTGATTATGGATACTCATTCTTAAATAAATCTGAGATACAGAGAGGAGGGAAACATTCTGGATTTGTTTAATTTGTTTGTATGATTATATTATAGTAGTTATTTTTAATGCTTGTAACTGATGGCATGGCGTAGGTGTCTGATCAAACAGCTGTGCAGAAATTTTCCAAAGCAAAGATTCCAAATGGTTGATACATTTGATTTAAAAAAACACAGCAGGCTGATTTTTTTGATTTAAACACTACTTACACAGTTCAGGACAAGATCAGTAAAGAGATAAGAGGTACAGCTTCGTCTGTGCTGGTTAGCAAAACCTCAACACAAGTTCCTCACAGGAGCTTTGAATTCAACCCGACTAGATGACTGGATCACGTGTCACTCGTACTTAACATGTTGTTTAAAATGATATACATACTGTATGTAAAATGATAATAGCGAAAACATATTGCCATTTCATCTACAATAGGTCTTGATCATGTGTGTTTCTAAACTAAAAAGTATTTAATTAAGACTGCTATTAAATTCAATTCTATCTTAACAAGGTGGGTGCTACAGTTGCATGCTTCAGAGAAATTCATTTAATGATACATGTTTAAAAGCTGTATTCAAAGGAAGGTCACTTTCTAGGAGAAGGAAATCACAATTTCATGAACTGACAGAAGTACAAGAATTATTTTTGTCACCTTTAAATGCTAAACTCATTTCAGTGCACTGTTCAAATTAATTTGTATCATTTACTTGACCACCAGCAGATTTTCATCTGATTATCACCTGGGCAGCAGAGTGCTTTCTTTCTCTCTCATAAGAAATAATGTATTACATAGCAGCAGTTAACGCAGTCTTCAGATTGTGAAGCTTCTACAGATGTCTCCTGGAGAACTGGGCATGTAAAAAAAAAGAAAAACTACCCACCACAGAAAGAGCTAAATGAAAATTAAAAAGCTTGCAGTGCTGTGCAATCACCGGTTCAGTACCTCTCTCCAGTGAACGGTCTGATTAGGTGGATTTGTTGCCAAAAGTGGAGTTCTTTGGTCTCTTCTCCAAAAGCGTCAAGTCTCACGGCGCTTGATTGGCTGAATTGGCTGATAACTACAAAGTGCAGCTTTCTCTCTGAGTTTGGTGCTAACAAGATCTGCTGTTAGTGTTTGCATTCCCAGGTGCTACACTGTTGATTTGGATGCTGCACTGACGATGTGAGCGCATTTATTAATATTCTGCTGACAATTTATGAAACTTTGACTAATGAATCCCGCCCCATGACAGCCACAAGCGAACAGAGAACAGATGTATTTCTCCTTTATCTGAAGAGGATTGGGCTATAAACTGAGAGTCAGGGAGGGGGGTTGATTTATACACAAATAATGCTAACACCATATGAGGACAATAATATATAATGACCGCAGTGCAACAAGGTACATTATGGTACTCCAGTAGTTCATGGTTTGAGTTGATGATATTAGATTTTTCCTGCATTCAACTTGCATCTGGCTGTATTTCACAGACATTCAATAAATCAAGAGGGCTTTTTTTTTTTTAAAGTAACTCATAGAATGATTTATTGGTAAACCATTTAACATTTCACATCTTAAAAAAGAATATGAGCAGATTTACTGCTTGATGTGTTTCAGCCCGACCATGATACCAGAGAAAAGTTCATCCTGCGGCTATAACACTTGAACAACTGAACCCACGCTTGGTAAAAAAAAAATAAACACTTGCAAACCACAACCTCTAAAACTAACTCTCCCTTTCTGTGACCGTTTTCATGTATTGTTTCTGGTAATAAAATTCACACACAAAGCCTCTGACTTGCACATCCTCTTCATATCAACGTTGTTCAACAGTGGACGGGCAGGGCATGGTGAACGTCTAAAAAGGGTTTTTGTGTGATGGTAAAAAATGTGAATAGTATTATGTACATGTTTCAATGTATTTAAAAAAGTATTGTGATTGGCTCCCACCTTCGTCCCACCCACGCTGATGATGCGGTACACACTCCTGCTGGCATCATAGAAGAAGGAAACGGTGACGGCATGTTTGCTGGCCGGCAGCCAGTTGCGTTTGGTGGCCGGGTCGATCTGGAAGACATGAGCTCTGGCACTGAAGATGGGCTGCTCCCTTAAGAAAAATCCCAACAAAAAAGGACAAATTAACTTCATTTAGTATTGATTAAGTTTTATAAGAATTTAAAGCACTCATTCAGAGAATGAGGTCAGTGTCATGAGGTACCTGGGTCCAACATTTTGTAGAAGACAAGTTTTCAGTTCATTAACACCATTAACACCTGCTTATCTGTGTGTTGGGTGTAGTGTTAGCTGGCAAATAGTTCTCTGCATTATATTTGGATGAATTAACTTACAGAGGGGGAGTCAATAAACAACTTTATAAACAAACAAGTGAAGAAAAACATCAAACATTAAACCACATGTTAACGCAAAAGCACACATACAAATTCTTTATGAACAAAACATCAAACTAAGAAAATATTATCAGGGGCCTTTTTACTGTTACATCAACAAATTGCAGCAGGCAAGGAAGATAAATGAACATTTAATCATCATTTCAGTAGAAAAGTGAATCCTGACAGCCTTAAATTTCCCACCAAATGTATTGCTGGAGCAAATTAGTTGTATATAAATGTTGATCAGCGGAGACAGGGCTGCTCCTCTGTAATGGGATGGTGGCAGGAGCTTTTGCACGTGATGTGAACATGATGTGGTTTCAATTTTTGTTCCCTTTAATCTAAGCTACAAGAAATCGTATCACAGACCAACTACAGTTCAGCGTTTTATAAACTGAAAGGACAATTATTACATATACTTGTTTTCATGAAATTGTATAATAGTACAAAATATTTCTTAAATATGTTACCATCTTTTTATGTATTGTGTTGTCATTTATCTGCTCCTCGAGACTGTTATAAGTAGAAATAGTAAAAAAGTAATCGTTTTGAATTGAACTGAATTGAATGAGTTGAAGTGAATTGAAATGGGCACCTGTAGACAGTTGTTTTTTTACATTCTATAATGTTAACTTCAGTCAGTTTATTTGCAGCATTGAATAAAAAAAATATACATGCTATAGTTTTATATGATGTCTTTCTTGGAAAAAGCAGTGAAGGAGCTTTCATGTGCCTCTTGATAAAAAAAAAGTTAGTCAACCAGGAGAAAAATGCATTCACATTCATCCCAAAATATTAGTTAATTAGAGCAGAATGGAGATATCACATGCATTAGTATACTTATCAAAGTCAAAAGGCTAAAACATCTGTACCCAACATTATAATTATCTGAAAATCATTAGCATTTCATTTTGTTCATCTGTTTGACTGCGAGTCATTGACTTTGTCTAGCACTTTTGGGTCCTCTCTGCCTCTCAGTGCACTCTAATAAATCTATAAATAGGGTGAAAAATAACCCCAATTTCCAAATGTGATTGTGTTTTTGTAAGGACCCCAGGGTCATTGATGCTCTCCTGATGTAATGAGGCTATCGCCGCAAACAGAACTGAAGATTTGCTAACCGCTAGCAGTCCAATTAGCCGGCCTGCTCTCTTTGAAGAACTTCACAAACACTGTGGGGACTAACAGAGGATGGAGGCTCGCAGGACAATGAGGGACTGCTCATGCAACATTACACAGCTAATACACACTGCACAATGTTAATGCATGCAATGAGCCATTCCCCATTGAAAGTCAATTATACACTGACATTAATGAGGATAATATGTGCAGCGGGGAGGCTCTGTTCTTTGTCTAAACAGGAGAAATAACCATTTATATAGGTCATCACCAGCTATAAGAAGCATTGTTCCCTCTGGATTTGGTTTGAAATACTGTATATTTGCATTCAAACAATAGACGTTATTGTTTCCACACAGATTACTGAAACTACAATTGACAATAGACCACAGCAGCACAGCCAAGGGAGCTGATTAAGTCCAGGATGGGAGCAGCTAGATGCAAAACATATCCCCAAGTGATGATATAAAAATGGGTTTACCTGAAAAACATGGAGTTACTGGACAAAAATGATATGAAGTGCACTCTACCACTGCTAATTTGTAAATAAACATGGCCGGTGAGACTTGATGTAGTTGAGGTTCTTACAGCTTGTTAGGAGTAAAATAAGTAGAACACTAAATTTGCCAGACTCAAATTAATGATCAAATCTACATTTTTACTGTTAATGCAATTGCAAAAAAAACACTCAAAATGTGCATTTTACCAGCTGCTCAGGCTACCTTAGTTGACAGTTATGAATATGAGATGAGATGAGATGAGATGAGATTCAACTTTATTGTCATTACACATATACAAGTATAGAGTAACGAAATGAGGTTTGGCATCTCACCAGAAGTGCAAATAAGCAGAAAGTGCAATAGTCTGTGCTATGTACAGTAATTGAGTGCAAGAGTCTGTGCTATGTACAGTAATTCTGTGCTATGTACAGTAATTGCAAAATTTACAGATGTAGCCAAAAGAAGTGAATTATGAGGTATAGCTGGATGGCTGGATTAATGGGATGCAATAAATATAAATAAATGCTATAAATAAGTAATGCTACAAAATAAGTGTGTTTTTAGGATTATAATGTACAGATTAAGATGCAGTGAGCATGCTATACTAATAATATACAGAATAAGATGCAGTGAGCATGTTATACAAGTTTACAGATAATTTAAAGAATATGAACATACTATAATACAATAATACAGATGGATGAGAGATGAGTGTGTGTGTGACCAGGAGGAGAGGTGGGGGGATGATGGGTGTGAGGTGATATGGAGGGGAAAGGAGGGTCAGCAGGGTGCGGAGAGAGAGAGGGAGAGAGAGAGAGAGAGAGACAGAATACAGAGTTCGGGGTGTGAGGTGATATGGAGGGGAAAGGGTGGTCAGCAGGGTGCGGAGAGAGAGAGGGAGAGAGAGACAGAGTTCAGAGTTCGGGGGGGTAGAGTTCAGTAGAGAAACAGCTCTGGGGAAAAAGCTGTTCCTCAGTCTGCTGGTTCTGGTCCGGAGGCTTCTGAAGCGCCTGCCGGAGGGCAGGAGGGTAAACAGTCTGTGGGCAGGGTGGGAGGAGTCTTTAAGGATGCCATGAGCTCGCCGCAGACAGCGTTTTCTTTGGACATCCTCAATGGCAGGAAGTGGACACCTTGTGATGCGCTGGGCGGTTTTTACCACCCGCTGTAGCGCCTTACGGTCTGCGACAGAGCAGTTTCCGTACCAGACTGAGACACTGCTGGTCAGGATGCTCTCGATCACACAGCGGTAGAAGTTCATCAGTACAGCTGAAGACAGGTGGTGTCTCTTCAGTGTCCTCAGGAAAAAGAGGCGTTGATGAGCCTTCTTAACCAGACTGGAGGTGTTAGTGGACCAGGAGAGGTCCTCTGTGATGTGGGTCCCCAGGAACTTGAAGCTGGAGACACGTTCAACAGCCATCCCGTTGATGTGAATGGGGTTGTGCGTGCTTCCTCTTTCTCTCCTGAAGTCCACGATGATCTCCTTCGTCTTGCTGGTGTTGAGGAGCAGGTTGTTGTCAGCACACCAGGCGGCCAGATGCTGTACCTCCTCCCTGTAGGCCGTGTCATCGTTGTTGCTGATGAGGCCAATCACCGCTGTATCGTCCGCAAACTTGATGATGGTGTTGGATCCATGTACAGGTCTGCAGTCGTGGGTGAAGAGGGAGTAGAGGAATGGGCTCAGCACACAGCCCTGTGGTACGCCTGTGTTGAGTGTGATGGTGGTGGAGCAGGTGTGTCCTGACCTAACATACTGGGGTCTGTTGGTCAGAAAGTCCATTATCCAGTGACGGAGGGAGGAGTTGAAGCCCAGGTCTCCGAGTTTAGTGTTCAACTTGGAGGGGATGACAGAGTTGAATGCTGAGCTAAAATCAACAAACAGCATTCGTGCGTATGTGTTGTTATTGTCCAGATGAGTGAGCACAGAGTGCAGCGCAGTGGAGACTGCATCCTCTGTACTCCTATTGCTGCGGTAGGCAAACTGGAATGGGTCCAGTGTGGGTGGGAGGCAGTTTTTCAGGTGTGCTAGGACCAGTCGCTCAAAGCACTTCATTATGATGGGTGTGAGTGCCACAGGGCGGTAGTCGTTCAGGCCTGTCGGGCTGGAGTGTTTCGGCACTGGGACAATGGAGGTGGCTTTGAAGCATGCTGGCACAGCTGCTTGGGCGAGGGACAGGTTGAAGATGTCCGTAAAAACCCCAGTGAGCTGCTCCGCACATGCCCTAAGCACGCGCCCGGGGTGCCGTCTGGACCAGCAGCCTTTCGAGCGTTGATCCGGCTCAGTGCAGCGTGGACGTCTGTGGAGGTGAGTGAGAGGGGCTGGTTGTCTGCAGGAGGTCTGTCGTGGTCTGTGTCTCTCTATTGTCTCTATCGAAACGAGCATAAAAGTGATTTAGCTCGTTCAGGAAGGAGACATCTGTGGTTATCGGGGTGGAGTTTCTGGGTTTATAGTCACTGATGGCCTGGATGCCCTGCCACATGCGTCTGGGGTCAGAGTTGGAGAAGTGTTCCTCTACCTTCAGCTTGTAGCAGTGCTTGGCCTTGATGATGCCCCTCCTCAGGTTTGCCCTGGATACGCTGTAGGCCATTGCGTCATCTGATCTGAAGGCGGTGTTGCGGGCCTTCAGCAGGAGACGCACCTCCTTGTTCATCCATGGCTTCTGATTTGGGTACGTGGTGATCTGCTTCCATGTTGTGACACTGTCGATGGTGGTATTGATATAATCCAGCACAGAAGAAGTGTAGGTGTCAATATCTGTGTGAGAGCCCAAGGTAGCCTGAGAAGCAAACATACTCCAGTCTGTGTGATGGAACTTGTCCTGAAGTACAGAGTCTGTCCCCGCTGGCCACACTTTAATCGTTGTCACTGATGGCTTCACACGTTGGATGAGTGGGGAGTACTTGGGGATGAGGAACAAAGAAAGGTGGTCTGACTGTCCCAGGTGGGGGAGGGGGGTCGTGGTGTAGGCCCCTGCGATGTTTGTGTAAACATGGTCCAAAGTTTTGTTTCCTCTTGTATTGCAGGAAACATGCTGGTGAAATTTAGGGAGCACTGTCTTTAAGTTTGAGTGATTAAAATCACCTGCAACTATAAATGCAGC